TATGATATGCTTATAGTGCCATCATCTAAGCTTCGAAATTGTGTTCAGTCTCAAGACATGATTTGGCTAAAGTAATCATGGTTATCATCTCTGAATGATAACTCTTGTTAATTGCATAGGTATCTTACATGGAATATGCTTACTGGGCCCATCCCCACCTGGATCAAGAGCAGAAATACTCGCTAGTATGTCATTTTTCTTTAATTCTTTATGAATTATGTTAGAGATTTCAGTTCATAATATATTTATCATTCTTTCCTAGGAATTAATGTGTACTTTTATCTACATAATCTTTAATGGATGGATAATACTGAGAATTATGGAATGCTTCATCCGTCTACTCTCCCCTGTCATATGGATGACTGAAATGATAGACTTTAATACTGGCAACTTCAGTTTGCCCTTGTCCTATAAGAGCATAATAAAGAGATGCAAGTCATTAGTTTTATAATTTTGAAGGATTGATGATTGGTCTGTAGCTTTAAGAATAGTCCTTGATTTTGAAGAACTATACTAATGGGAAACTGATAAAGAGACAATCGAATTTATAGATTTAAGTACAGTTATGTATGAATAATCAAACCACTTCCAATTGCAATATCTTCAAAGTTTCTGCCTATAACTTCGTGTCAAGTATTCTAAAAATTTGTTCAAAGTTGTCTGAATGTTGAAAGAAGCTATCTTTGCATGCAGTGAATTTGATCTTTCTTACAACAATTTCACTGAAAGCCCTTCAGAAACTACTTGTAGAGAAACACTGTAAGAATGACTTTATTTTCCTTGTCTTTTCTTTAATTTAGGAACATCAGCTTTCTCTATACCACCATACACTTTCATATCTTACAAAATTAACATCTGCGTTGGTTTGCCAGAAATTTGTTCAAAAGTTCTTGGGGAGGCAACTACTCGTAAGCTTCTACCCGAATAAACTTCTAAGACAGATATCATTTCTAGTTTAAGATAAGCTGATGGTTCTCTCTCACCAATGTGTCCAGGAAACCCGTTGAGTGCCTGCCTGATTATTGTTCAAAAGGTACTCTCGTTTTCGCATCAAAATTATGGTATATGCTCCTTTTGTTTTGTAATGCTATGACGTTTTATGTTCAGTTGGATGTGCCGAAGTAAATTGCATTTGTTTCTTGTGTTCTCAATGCTCATATTGATGACCATTAACATTTTCACAATTCTGTATAGACCAATACTCAGTGCACATAAATTGTGGTGGACCAAAAACCACCATTGGAAATACCATCTACGAAGCAGATGATGAGCCAGGAGGTTCTGCAAAATATGTACCGAAAAGTGAGGTTTGGCAATTAAGTACCACAGGAAGTGTCTGGGATGTTCCTCCTACTGTAGATGACTACATGGCACAAAATAAGTCCATACTCAGAATGAAGAACTCTCAACTTTACACAAATGCACGCCTCTCTCCTTTGTCTCTCACATACCATATGCGCTGTCTAGTTAATGGGAATTACAAAGTGATGCTTCACTTTGCAGAAATAGTAATGAGGGACAACAGATCCTTCTATGGTCTTGGAAGACGGATATTTGATGTTTATATTCAGGTATTAAAGATCTTATATTTATTCCGTATTTAATAGGCAATGAATTGATTGAAGAAATGTTCTTGCAGGACAAAGTAGTGTTGAAGGATTTTAATATTGTAAAGGCAGCACAAGGGGTAGATAAGGTATATATTCACAATGCTACAGCATCAGTTACTGAGAGAGAATTAGAGATCCGCTTTCATTGGGCTGGGAAAGGGACGACGACATCACCGAAAATTGGAACATATGGTCCTTTAATATCGGCCATTGATATAGAATCTGGTAAGTCATACCTATGTCTGAAATTTTAACATACACTTCAATGTTGCATGGAGTAGGTTGACATACAATGAAGTGGCATAGTAATGCACAACTCTGTAAACTGACATTAATTTCTGTTGCTGATTCTATTTCTGCATAGAATTCAAGCCTCCTAATAAAGGCAAGAGGAAGAGACTCATTATCGCTGGGGCTGTGGTTTTGCCGTTGTTCCTCATTTTCATACTTCTATCCACTCTTTGGTGGAAAGGTTATCTGGGAGGAAGTAAATCAAGGGATCCAGGTACTGTATGTACATTCTTTTGATTTGTGAATTCTAATGTTCCAATTAGGACGCTATCAAAAATGAGAATTCGCAACATCAAGACTGTGTACTGTAGGACAGCGAAAAGTATTTGTTTTTTTTTCCCTTTCACAGTGATTATCGTGTGACCTAATTTGTTCATTCATAACGGTTTTTTCCATCATGCTTGCCTTTTTCAATTAGTCGTATAACTTGTGTTTATGTGCTAGGTAAGATGTTTTCACCATAAGTGACATGTACTTTTACTAGTTAGCTTTTTCCTTATGAATCATGCATGCAGCGCAACTTATCCTCTTTGTTCCTTGGGCAGAACTAGTTGGGTTAGATCTGCTAACTGGTGTCTTCACCTTCCGACAAATCAAAGCTGCAACAAATGACTTTGATCCAGCAAACAAACTCGGAGAAGGTGGTTTTGGCTGTGTCTACAAAGTATAGTACAACTTTGTCTTTCATCTAGCTACTCTTTCTCTTACCACTTTACCATTGATGAGCGACCCAAATGAATTTGTTTCTGTTTTTATCTAAAATTATTCTCATTGCAGGGAGTACTATCAGATGGTACTATAATTGCAGTTAAGCAGCTTTCGGCCAAATCAAAGCAGGGAAATCGCGAATTTGTGAACGAAATAGGCATGATTTCTGCTTTGCAACACCCAAATCTTGTTAGATTGTATGGGTGCTGCATTGAGGGGAAGCAGTTGTTACTGGTATATGAGTACATGGAAAACAACAGTCTAGCGCATGTTTTGTACGGTAGGCCATGCTCGTTTCCTTGAAGTATTTTATGTAAATTGATTTACGAAACAAAATGCTCATTTCCTTGAAGTGCAAAATTTGATTGTTTGGGCTATGCATACTGATCACAGGCAAAAAGGAAGACCAGATAATGCTAGACTGGCGTACAAGGCAGAGGATTTGTGTTGGTATAGCAAAAGGTCTAGTTTTCCTGCATGAGGAATCCACACTAAAAATTGTTCATAGAGACATAAAAGCTACAAATGTCCTACTTGATGGGGATATGAATGCCAAAATTTCTGATTTTGGCATGGCAAAGCTTGACGAGGAAGACAACACCCATATCACCACCAGAGTTGCTGGAACAATGTGAGTTTCTGTCATCTGCTCATTTCACTCTTCAGCTAGTCTTTCTGCATACCAGAATCACTGCAGCATTTTTTTTTCCAAGTCATTAGGATAAACAAAACTAACATCTGTCTACTGTTGATTGATTATAATGCATTAATTATGAAATAAATGGGCGTATTTACTGACAAATTCAGTACTGTTATGAATGCAGTACTTCCGATTTAGCATATTTTACTTGTTTTTGTAAAGCTAAGGTAGGTCATTGAGTCATTCTTTCTTTGCAGGGGATACATGGCGCCAGAGTATGCATTATATGGTTACCTGAGCTATAAGGCAGATGTTTATAGTTTTGGTGTTGTTGTCTTGGAAATTGTTGCTGGGATGAACAACATGAGATTTCAACGTGATGAAAATTTTGTATGCCTCTTGCATTGGGTAAGTTATATAAATTTTCATTTAATTCGTGCAGGAACATGAGCTCCACAGCAGACAAGGGTAGACTACTTCGAAGACTATATATATAACAAAAACCGAGTAATCATATTGTATCTTGAATGACAGAATACTTCTTAAAACTATTTTAACATAAGTTAACTGCTAAGTTTCATACATTAAAGTTGTCTTATCTAATCGATTACAGACTTCGCAAACATGACAGTACAATGTAACAGCTACCACTTGTTTATTTTCTGTTGTTAGTTTGTTCGTGTCTGGTAACTTGGTTAGTTTATCGTTTTGGTTTTTTTTTCAGGCTCTGAATTTACAACAAAATGGAGACATTATGGATCTGTTAGATCCAAAATTAGGGTCTGAGTTCAACAAGAAGGAAGCAGTTAGAATGATTAAAGTAGCACTGCTATGCACAAACCAATCTCCTGGACTTAGGCCTAAAATGTCTGAAGTAGTAAAAATGCTCGAAGGAAAGGTTGATGTTCAGGAATTAGTCAAGGATACAAGTAGATTCGGTGATCCATCGAGGTTCGAGGCTTTCAAACACAAGTCTAATCAATCCTCAGTCAGGAGTATCGGTGAAACTCAGTCCCTCTTGAGTTCGTCAGATCGACCACGGATTGATTCTTCATCTACGTCAGCCCAGGATCTTTATCATGATTAATGAATAATGATGCTTACATGTTTGGGTTCTTATTAAATAGTTTAGTCAGAGTTACTGTCTCGCAACAGAAGCAAGTATCACATTGTATAGAAATATATATAGAATAATATCTCCAAAGAAGCTGTATATGAGTTGACAGAAGTCATTGGTTAGGTGTGTTAGACTCTCCTTCGGCCAGTTTATCGTCGGTCTACAGTAGTAGTCACAGATCAACGGTATTTATTTTCTTTTTAGTGAATTTTCGCTACGTGAGACTACAATATCGTCAGTCTACAGTAGTATTCACAGATCAACGGTAGGTATTTGTTTTCTTTTTAGTGAGTTTTCGCTACGTGAGACTACAATAGTAGTCACCGTGGAGTATAAGTTGTTATGTTTAGATAATACTATAGCTAGATAGAAGTTAATGTGTACTTATTATACAGAGTCCTAAAGCTATGGGAATTGCAAAGCTATGAAGGATGAATCAAATCCTAAGTAAAATACAAGAGTGATATTTTATTCATCAAGACTTCTCTGCAACTTTAACCGTGCATAATCATTCATAGTACAAAGAACAAACTAGTCCTCAAGCCCTCTAAGGCTTATTATTAAGCTTAAAATTATTACACGTACAGCCTCTTGCTTTTCTTTTTCTTTAGTTTGCTATTGCATAAATGCAATCTTAATCCCTCCCATGTCGCGACTGCTGGGAAGAACTGAAAACACTAGCTTCCTCTCTACTGTTCTTAAGCCTCCCAGCATCTTCCCTTGATATCTGGAATGCATTTGCAAGAACATCATCAGGAATGGCCCGGACGACCGAGACACGTCCTGCCAATTGACTGACTTGTGCATGGTCATTGGTCTTGAACGATACCCACTGCAGTCCTTGGATTCCTGCCTTCTTGACCACTGCAAAGTTCTGTGGTGCTGTTATTACTTGACCCTCTCGAACTTGTCCATCAAATACTGCTTGCCCATTGTCTCCAACAATCTGAATCCTTCCACTTCCTCTAGTTATGTAGCATATGCTGTGAGCATTGATGTTCCAACTTGGTGACATCAAAGCATTCTACAGATGTTCATCAGATTCAGTGTACATTATTACATTATAAACAAAGTTGTAATAAAAAAAAACTATATGGTATGCGAAAAATTGAATTTTTTTCACGAAGGTTATTTAGAGATTCGTACAGGGTAAAGGACACCTCTCTGAGCGCTAAGCCGAACATGTCGAAGGATGGGGAGATTGAGGCTGTTGGCTGTGGCGAGACGTCCAGCACGTGGATTAAAGACATCAGCACTTTCTGGATCATTGATGTTGTGCTTCAACCTGGCGGTGCAAAACGTTTCCTCTAGACCATTGCGGCCACGACCTGGACTCCTTTGGTATTCTTGTTCTCTTTCTTCCTCCTCTAGACTCTCTGGTGGACTTACCATCTGAAGTTCATGCTGAACTCGGACGATGATGCCTCTATTATCATTTTCGTTCTTCATCCTTCTTGCTAGACTGGTATCAACGTTGAATGCTTCCGCAAGGATTCGCTCATCAAAGCCACTGAGGATATTGCGATATCTTTCATGTTGGCGCCTTGGACTTCCGCCTTCGCCTTCATATCGGCCTCTCTGGTATGAGCTTCTTTGGCTTTGTAATTCTTGTTGTGGGTTTCCAGCCAGGAAGAATTTCTGAAATGGCACATTAACGTTTGCTTATAATTTTACAAAGTAATCCTTGTTAGCTTATTTTATGACATCGCATGTAAGAATTTGTGGATTCTTACCCTGAAATCCTGATCAAGCTGGTTGGCATCGTTGCTAGTGTCAAGAAGTTGGACAAGAACAAGAGGGGAATCACCATTGTTATAAAACCAATCAGCTACTCCTGCAGGCAAGGCAACAACATCGCCCTCTCTAACTTGTCGAACCTTCTGGTGCTGGTCTTCGGAGCTTTCTCTTCCTCTTCGATCCCTAGAATACTGTCCTGATGATTGGAATGTCTCTGGACAACCTGGGATTACAGCTCCGTGAACGCCCCTACCTACATTGAGACCAAACAGAAACATTAATGAAGTGTAAATTTGAAATGTTATTGTAATTAAGAAGAAAGCATTGATTGCATGCCTTGCTCTACATAGACAAGCTTAGGTGTATTAGAATATGCAGGCAACAAAAGGCCTCGGTTGTTAATCTTGTGGCGGATAAGAACAACACCAGCGCATTGAAACTGCCGATCGTTCTCGTCCCAAATTTCAGTAACACCAGCCTCTGATTTGATCTTTCGAGAAGGCTCGAGGGCATTGATCCTATCAAGTTGACATTGCTGGCCATGTTGCGAAGTCACTTGCTCTATTTGTGCAAAGCAACAATTGAAGAGAACAAGAAAGCAAAGAGCAAGAGAGAACAAAGAACAAGAACCCATGCTTGCTGTGGTTCTTTTATGGTAGTGTGGAATAGCAAGGTTTAATGGGCTGGTATTTATATGCAAAATCATGGGTTTAGCATTTGGGACGTGGCAACTCGATCAATTTACTGAGTTTTTTCCTTTCTATTTTCTGCATGTAAATTTGTCCTTTCTTTTGCATGTCTGCAATTCTCTCTCTTGCTTACACTTATTTTCTTCCCGGGTACGTGTTAGAGATTTTAATTATTGTGCACGAAGATCTTTGTTGTTTGTGGAATGAATCTGGTTCAATGAAGGCTTGAAGACATAGAGGGATGCACAAGGACTGTTTTATGGATCTCTTCTGTTTCTGGCTGCTTCGCTTCACGTTCGAGCTTGTACCATATATATATATAAGGACACTTGCCTCTTCATTTCTAACATAGTAGATGAGTTGGTTTTGCATGCAGCAATACGTGGCAAGATATATATACATGAAGCAGTATATGAGTTGTTGTTCTTTTTGTTTTTCAAGTAAAAATTGAGATTAAATTATTATTAAAAAGATAAATTGCTGATAGCTGATCAAAATTAATAATATTATGATGATAAATTGGGGACGTAGCAAGCTGATCAAAATTTAAAATGTCGTGATAAATTGAAAATATACCAATAAGAGCATCTTCAATGGTGCTCTTTACTTTTAGTTAGTATTTTTAATGTAAATAAAGAGCACTATTAATTATATAGATTGAAGAGCAATATCCTCTTTAATGCTACTCTTTACTTAACTTTTTATTTTGACAAAATCTATAAAACCCAAAGAGACTATTGGTGAAGAGGTTGAGTGGCATAGAAAATAGTAATTTTCATCAATGAAATATAAGATAAAGAGTTATTTAGACTCTCTAGTATTGGAGAGCCAAAAACACTCTCTATATCAATTTTAAAGATAAAGATTGTAATAAAGAGAGCATTCAAATCTCTTTATTATAAAGAAAAATCTTAATATAAAGAGAGCATTTGAGATGTTATGAGACTCGAAAAAAAATAAAAATAAAACCAAATTATAAAATCATTTTTTCTATATAGATTATATATTCTTGGCTAAAGAATATGCTACTGCATTTCTTTCTTGAAGAGTATGACTAAATGAAATATGATTTAAAGACTAGATCAAAAACATTAATAAAGTTGAAGAGATTTTGAAGACGCTAAGGTCTAGTAAAAATTTCCTTATTCATTCAAGCAATAGAATTTATCAAATCAGATTCAATAATCCAATTTGCATGTTGAACATAGATCAAAGCAACATTAATCTTCAAAGCTTTTTGTATAGCTATGACTTGAACCTCATTTGACTGCTTGGTTCCCATCCGAATAGAAAAAGCGCATAAGAAGGTTCCTTTACGATTTCTTAAAGTATATGAGTTGTTTTCATTCAATTTCTACATGGAGTTTGGTGGCTTGTTCATGTTGATGCATTAATTGTGTTGTGTATGTATCTGTGTTTGTAAATTTTTTTGGTTGAAATTTTTGTGTTAAATAGTTCACATTAAATCATCTTACAATCAATCTTTTAACTTCTAATTTTAGATTGAAACATCTTTTTAACTATTTTTCATTTGAAATTAAGTTTTTTTTTTTGTTTTGTTAGGTCTTTCAATTAGGTTTCTATTAAATCCTAATGGTGCAAGTGCAGTTATTTTACGGTTAAAATTATGCCAAAATTTATAGATATTTTGATTTTTTATCCAAAAGTTTTTTATATATAAAATGCCAAGTAATTTGTGGTTTTTTTTTTTTTGGCTAGCTAGAAACGACTATGTCTTAAATGATGTTGAGTCAAATTGGAATCAAATTTATTGTTTAATCTTTCATATGGTTGCTTTCTAGGCTAAGTGCCTTGATAAATTTAGAATTTTATTTTAGTAATTAGGTTAGATAATTATTTGATAAAAGAATTGTCGAGTCTCCTAATTTTTAGGAACCGATTATAAATTTTTTTGATCAACAAATAATAAATAAAATAAAATAAATAAAAATAACAAAAAAAAAGGAAAAATTCTCAACGAAGTCTCTTATTTGATAGGGATTGTCGTTGATATAAAACATTATAAAAATCCTTAATGAAGTATCCTATTTGACGAGAACTGTCGTTGACCAAAAAAAAAAAAAATTCTTGATAAAGTCTCCAATCTGATAGAAACCGTCGTTGACCAAAAAATAATAAAAATTCTCAACGAAATCTCCTATCTTATAGGATCGTCGTTGACCCAAAAAAAAATAGTAAAAATCCTTAACGAAATCTTCTATATGATAGTGATTGTTGTTGCCAAAAAATATAATAAAAATTATTAACGAAGCCTCTTATCTAATAGGGACTATAATTGCTAATTAAAATTACTAATGAAGTCTTCCATTTGATAGGGACTCGTCATTAACAAAAATGGAAAAACAAAAAACGTAATAAAAAATTTCTTAATAAAATCTTCAATCTGATAGGGATCGTTGTTAGTTAAAATATATATCATCAATATTTGATAATCAACTTGTTCTTTGACACACCAATTGTGCCAAGGTTGAAAGTGGATTCGATGTTTAAACCGATGAGTACCTTGACGAAGGGCTCGATGATAGTTTTAATACGATACCACACCCAAAAATCAAAAACTTAATTTTGCTTGGAAAATTAGAGTTTAAATTGAAAATAAATTGGCACAAATAAAATACTTTAGAAGATGAATTTAGAACTAAACTAGACATGATACCTTTATTAGGAAAAAACGTTTTTGGATGATTGATATCATTCCAAAACATAACCAACTCCTTACTTTAGAATCTCTCGTATTAGTGCTATTTTTAGATTTTTAATCCTTTTAATACTAGTTGACGACTCTAAACTCAATAATAATTCACATTCTCAAAATAACTCATAAATTTTTTGAGAGTCTCGTCCGATGTCATGTAGTGATACTAACAACTATCGATTGTTGTTTTAATTGTTTGCAACAACAACTATTTGAATTAGAAAAAAAGAAAATATTGTTTTCATCCCAACTATGTAGTCACGAGACTCGTGACATTTTATATTATATATGTATTTTTTGTGTTTTCGTGCTTTAAATTACCTTTCGAGTTTAGATGATCTTTCATTCTTTGGGTTTAAGATTTTCTTTCTGATCACTAGAGATATTATGGACCCGTGCTGCAAAGCTCCATCCAATTACAGGGTTGCAATTATTTTAAAAACAGGCCAAGACCCAACCAAATTCTTTGAATTTGGGCTTTTGTCAATCAAATGGAGATGTACCATGTACCCATTCATAGAAGCAAATAGCTTTGGCCCATCTCGGTTTATATTTATAAAAAGTAGATATTTTTCAATTAACTTTTAGAGACTAAAATCATCATCTTTTTTTTTTTTTTAGGTTAAGTCAGTATAAGAATATATTTAGTTTCTTAGATTAAATCATTTCATATCAACTAAAAATAATTATAATTAATTATCTGTGAATGTGGAGAATTAAATCTTGATTTTGGAAATCAAGAAAGCTTTTTTTGCTGCTATTGATTATGGTGGTGGCAATGATATTATACGAACTTGCAGTAATCATGGGTAGAAAAACTTTGATCTTTTTCGCATGGAAAGGAAAAATCACGGCAACAAAAGCAGAACCAACTGAAAAAACAAAGGAAACATTTCATTTACTGAGTAGTACATGCATAGTACAAGTAACCAAACTAGTCCGCATCTTATGCCCACTAAGGCTTATTTCTTTCTCTACTCATTCATACATACAGCCTCTATTGCTTTTTCAGTTTACAATTGCATAGTTGCAATCTTAATCCCTTCCAAATCGAGGACTGAAAACACTAACCTCCTCCCTATTGTTCTTAAGCTTCCTGGCATCTTCCTTCGAGATCTGGAATGAGTTTGCTAGCACTTCCTCTGGTATGCCCCGGATGGCCGAGACACGTCCTGCCAATTGACTGATTTGTGCATAGTCATTGGTTTTAAATGATACCCACTCGAGGCCTTGGTTTCCGGCCTTCTTCACAACTGCAAAGTTTTGTGGTGCTGTGACTACTTGACCCTCCCGAACTTGTCCATCAAATACTGTCTGTCCATCGTCTCCAACGATCTGAATCCTTCCATTTCCCCTGGTGATGTACAATATGCTGTGGGCATTGATGTTCCAATGTGGTGCCATCAAAGCATTCTACAGTACATTTTCATGTACATTATTAGCAGATTTGCAGCAAAATAAGTACTGGATGTTCAAAAAAAAAAAGTACAATTTTTTTAATGGAGCTAGGTTACATAAATATCGTCTCTTACCGGATAGAGGACACCTCTCTCAGCACTAAGCTGGACATATCGAAGGATGGGGAAATTGAGGCTGTTGACAGAGGTGAGGCGTCCAGCTCGTGGATTAAAGACATCAGCACGGTTTGGGTTATTGATGTTGTGCTTCAACCTGGCTGTGCAGAAAGTTTCCTCTACACCATTATCCCCACGACCCGGGCTCCTTCGGTATTCTTCTTCTTCTCTTTCTTCCTCCTCTTGACTCTGTCGTGGGCTTACCATCTGAAGTTCATGCTGAGCTCGAACGATGATGCCTCTATTATCGTTTTCGTTTCTCAACTTTCTTGCTAGTCTGGTGTCAACGTTGAAAGCTTCTGCAAGGATTCGCTCATCGAAGCCACTGACGATGTTGCGGTTTCTTTCTTGCTGAGGTCTCCGACTTTCGCCTTCATGTCCGTATTGGCCTCTCTGGTAGAAGCTCCTTTGGCTTTGTAGTTCTTGTTGTGGATTGCCAGCCAAGAAGAATTTCTGAAACAGCATAACAAATTGAACATAAAGCAAGCACTTGCATGATTAAATAAGCAGATCTCTTTTTGTGTTAAACTTATGGTTATAATTACCCTGAAATCTTGATCAAGCTGGTTCGCAGCATTGCTTGTGTCAAGAAGTTGAACAAGAACAAGAGGGGAATCACCATTGTTATAAAACCAATCAGCTACTCCTGCAGGCAAGGCAACAACATCGCCCTTTCTAACTTGTCGAACCTTCTGGTGCTGGTCTTCAGAGCTTTCTCTTTCTCTTCGATCTCTGGATTGTCCTGATGATTGGAATGTCTCTGGACAACCTGGGAATACAGCTCCATGCACACCTCCACCTACATTGAGACCAAACAGAAACATTAGTTAAAGTGTAAATTGGAAACGATATTATAATTAAGAAGAAAGAATTTAGTGCATGCCTTGTTCTACATAGACAAGCTTAGGTGTATTAGAGTATGAAGGCAACAAAAGGCCTCGGTTGTTAATCCTATGGCGGATAACTGCAACACCAGCGCATCGAAACTGCTGATCATTCTCGTCAAAAATTTCAGTGACACCAGCCTCTGATCTGATCCTTCGAGAAGGCTCGAGGGCATTGATCCTCTCAAGTTGACATTCGCTCTGTTGAAAGCGTCGTCGCCCTTGTTGTTGCTGGCCATATTGCGGCGAGGTCACTTGCTCTATTTGAGCAAAGCAACAGTTGAAGAGAACAAGAATGCAAAGAGTAAGAGATAACAAAGAAGAGGAAGCCATGCTTATTGCAACTATTTGTTACTGTGTGGTATGGGAGGGTTGATTGGGCTGGTATTTATAGGAAAAATTGTGGGTTTAGGATTTGGGACGTGCTGATCGATTTGCCAGTTTTTGTTTGTACTTTCTGCATGTAAGGTTGTCCTTTGGTTATGCAAGTCTCCAATGCTTACACATGGATTCTCTTCATGGGTACGTGGTTGTGAATAAAGAGCGGTTCAAAAATCTTTTAGGTATATACCTCTAGCGTGCTTCACGTTCAATGAAGGCTTCAGGACATAAAGGAATGCACAAGGACTGATTTACGGATTTATTCGATTTCTGGGAGCTTTATTTGAAGTTTGAGGTTGTAATATATGCATTTGTCCTATTTGAATGTTACGTACATGCACCTGCCTGCAACGCTAGCTCTCCAAATTGAGCTGTTTTCGTCCAAGTTTTCTATTGAATTTGATAGTTTTGTTCATGTTGATACATTGTGCCTGTACCATGTATGTATATATACGGATGTGTGTTACTGTTTTTTGAGTTGAAAATTTTGATGTTTCGATGAAAAGAAAAAAGGAAGTCTGGAGTATGTGTCGATACATTCACTTAGCTTGTCCTTCTGTTTAGGTAATTTGATCCACTTTTTACGATAAATAACTTATAAAATCCACATTACCAATTAATTCAATATTTTTCTTTAGTTGCTGAATTCTTTCTCAGTTGGAAAACGTGGCTTTCAAAGACGTCTTTGTTGTTTCTTCTGAAAAATGGCTGGTTCATTGATCAACCGATCATCGCCCCAACCAGTTTTATGGTTTAACTAGTCAAGTCAAATAATTTTATTCTATTCAATACAGATCCAGTCTTTTTAAAAACCAATCTAGCAGAGGTTATAATCCATCGATTTTCCAATCCAATCAATCTGATCAGACCAATTCTGATAATATTCTATTAAGCAACCAAAACAAATAAAAGAATAATAAAGAAGGATCTTAGTTCTTGATATATTAAGATAATACGTGTCATTATTATATACTCTCTGATGGATCATGCTCTCAAGCCGGATGAGTGTCTAAGAAAATAAAACTCCACCAAAAACGTAAATGAAAAAGCAAACCCAACTAAATTACATCTTTGATTGTCCCGAACGGTCTAGGTCTTGATGGCCGAACTCAATCCCATCAAATAGAGTGGAGCATATTTCCAAAATCAGTTTTGTTTAACCAAGTCAATTATAAAGCTGTCATATTCTTCCAACTGCTATCTTGATAAAAACATTATATTATATCTTTATCATCTTATATTTAGTTTATTTGTTGTATTTTATATCTTATTAAGATAATCTATGCTCATATTCACATGAAAGACATAAACTAGGATTTTAGAATAATTATGCTTAAAAGTTAGAGAATTCCAATATGATTAACTTAGACCTTTCGAATTTCTTATAGGTTTTCTGTAACCTTAAATTTGGATTTAGAAGAAGTGGTTGTAAAGGGCATCTCAAGCTTTCCATAATGATATAGTAGGTTAGTTTGAACTTTTAAATGATATTTCATATTCTGTTATAGAAAGGTGATTTGAATCCTATTCAGAGTCCAAATCAATTATGAAGTTTAACTCATATTTAGAGTTTTACAACTCCAATTGATACAAGGCCAAGCCCATTGAATACTTAAGAGGCGTATCTACAATTCTTATGAGGTCATAAGTCCAAAATAGGTTAGTCTCATGAAGGAATTCAACTATAAAATGAAATTCTAAGGTTGGACGGACATGTTGAATCGATATTAATATTTATTAATCTAAATAGAAGAATAAAAATAGTAGGATCCTAATAGCTTTGTAAAAAAGATTAATTTTGATATTTTATCAAATAAGTATTGAAGCTAAATAATTTAATCTCGTGAAATGATTTTACTGTGTTCATTAATAATTTATTACAAAGTGTTTATTATTATTATTATTAGAATAGATGGAATGCTTACACAACGTACATATGGGATGCAATAGAAATTAGAATGACTTTATTAATCAAAATTGTATTTATAGTCATATCTTTAGCACAAGTTTTTGAGTTAACCTAATTAATCAGCTTTAGCATAAGTTTTTGAGTTAAAATATATAGTTCTTATGGTATCAAATTCTTTTCTACTAAAATTTTCAATTCAGTTGATAAATTAAAGATATAGTATAATCATTTCCAATTAAGACTTTATTTATAAACACAACTTGAGTTCTAGAGCAAACTGAGTAGTTTTATGAAAACCCTGATCTGGAAATGGATAATTTAATATAATCCAACACTATGATGAGTGATAGTGTTGGATTATATTAAAATTTCCATTTCGTGATCATGAAATAATATGTTGGACATATTGTTCTTTTATTTCAAAACGATTGTTTATTTTTTTATTTTATATTTATTTCAAAATATTTGTGAGATCAACGCTTTAAGTCATGTATTTTTTAAAAAATCTTTAATTAATATATCTAATTAAAATATATTTTTAAAAATATTTATAAATAACAAAATATGCTGATATGGTAGAACAATTAACAATCTTTTTAATCTATGTAAAAAGTCAAAAAAAAAAATCATTTTGGGACAGAAAAAGTAGTATAGAAATTATAACATTCATGGCTTTTATTAGTGTCCACCAAACACATGAATCGCCCAGCTGAAACATTTTTCAAATTTCAGAATCTACCAGAGAAGGCATAGGTAATTATTTTGTCAAAATCAAGTTAGATAAGTAATTAGACAGTCATTAATGCTAAACAACATGCTCAGTGAAACAGCAATTCAAAGTCAAATTCCAGTCTGCTTTGCTTCCAAGTGTACAGGGTCTCCTGCTGCATGAAGTCTACAAATATACATGTAATTGGATCCCGTTCCTCTCACAAACCCAAACACACACACCCCCACATAGAAAGAAAGAAAAAAAAAAAAACAGAGAGAGAAAAACGTTGTTGTCTTTGACAGGAGAAAATAACCGAGCAGAGAGAACATGGCTTGTACTTGCCCAGGTAGGGTTCACCCAGGTATTGCCATGATATTTGTTCAGATTGTGTTTGGAGGGATCAATATTGTCTACAAGTTGGTCATCAATGATGGCATGAGCATGAGGGTAGCAGTTGCATATCGCTTGCTTTTTGGCGCTGCCTTCTTGTGTCCTATTGCTCTCATTGTAGAAAGGTATGTAAATGGCTATTTTACTTGTTTCAAGCTCTTAATACCATAATCTTGTAACTCAGTAGTAATATTTTTGCATAAATATGAGAGGGCTAGGTCTTAAATTCGAGTCTCGTCTTGAAGGATTCAACTTTAATAAATGGGATCACACTCACGTTCCAAGCTCCCTTGGTCTTGGCAAGCATGTTTTTGTTTTTCTGTCTGGCTAATTTCCTTGATTTTGCTATTCTAAGTTCTAAATGTGCAAGAGTGCTTGGCTTTCATACACGGTTATCTTGTTCGAAGAAACAAGAACAATGGACTTAAAAAAGAAAAAATAGTTGCCATTTGCTTGGACAAAATGTTAGGTATCTCAACCTTACACCAAAATTTGATCCACAAATACTGTTCAGTCTTCGCATTTACATTGAATTCATAGCTCCATCATCTTTTATTGTTTGATAAATAACTGCAAAAAAATAAAGATTTGAAAAAACAGAGTCTCTAACCTCATCTGAATTTGCTTGCAAGAGAAAGGCTCGCCTAGGGTTTATGGGAAACCCATTATACTAAATTTTCAACAAAAACGGCACAGAAATTCGAACACCATTAATTGCACACTATCAGTTGCTATTATGCATGGCGGATACTGTGTTATGGCAATTAATTCTCTCATGTATCCATGGACCTTCTTTCGTTCACATGTCCATCAATTCTTCTTGTCTGATTTTGATAAGTACATATGTTACTCAAATCCAGATGAGTTGTGCAACGTAGGTTACGAATATTAAGCTTTACCTATCCATTCCGGTCTATACAGGGTCTCACTTTTACTTGCCGGCACATAGGAAAAATTATATGTATACTTTTGGATACTACTAATTAATTCACTAACTAAATTATTATTACCATTAATTTTTTTTCAAAAAATTACCAACACATCTTTTACTGATATGTATTATATAATAGATAGTAATAATTGATAAATGATGTATTGGTATTTGGTAATTATATAAAAACTAATGGTGGGAATAACAATTTTACGGTGAATGGAGCGGTACCCTTTTCTTTTCCATAACAAAGTTATTCCTAAAGTTTTTGGTTTTCATGTCCCTTGTTTGGGCAAAAAGTGAAAAATAAATTTTTTATGAATTTTTTTATCTTAGTATAATTTTTTTTTTATCACGAATTCACACTTCAAAAATAATGATTAAAACATTAAATTAAAAATCAATTTCATTTTTTTGCTAAAAATAACTATATGAAAAGCTTTCACACACACATATAAAATGAAAGACCAATCATTTAAAATTCATGAAATTTACATTTTGCTATTTATATGCTAAAATATGTAGTTTTAATGGAAATTCAATATAAAAAGTTTGTTTCTAAATAATTTTTCATAACTGCTAACTAAGACCAGAGAATTCCTAATGAAAATAATAATAATAATAATAATAATAATAATAAACCCTAAATTCTTGACAGCCAAAAAAAAATCATTGAGTTAATATCCTTTACATTTTGTGTTGGCAGGAACAAGAGACCAAAGCTGACATGGGTTGTCTTCATTCAGATATTTCTCGTTGCATTGGTTGGGTATGCTCCTCTAAATATCAGTGTACAAACTAATAATAATAAAATGTCATGTTGTCCCCGGGTATTAACCATTAAAATTTGAGGTTTTGATCGGATGTTCAAATCATCAGAGGATGAATTAAGTATGAATTTGGGAATTGGTAAGAATTTTACCTTCTTCTGTTTTCTTCCTATATAGAACCACATAACCCACATACATGATTAAATAGTTACCGAGACAAAACAATTGTATTACAACGATATAATTAAGCCACCATTATAAATATAATAGAATATTCTAATATCTTCTTGTGATATAATGTTTTTTAAAGTTAAATACCCTAAACGATAGATTAGAATTCATGACTACTTTACACATGCAAAAAACTGACTACTTGTTAGACCAAATATTTATGGATTTTGCACATACCGAGATTTCATACAATTTGAATTTTTTATTTATTGAAACCCTAAGTTTTTTTTTTTAATTTTATAGTTTTACTCTTATATTGTTGTTGTTTCGGACCCTAATGTGCCACACAAGCACACATGACAAACTTTGACTAATAATAGCTTACCATGTATCATAATGGATCCAAATTGTGTAATTGAATATGTGACATGGCAAGTCGTCATTGGTTAGAAGTCGTTATTGGTTAGAGCTTGTCTCCCGTACTTATGTAATAAGCTTTCATTGGTTAAGGTCCGAAACAACAACAACAACATAAAAATAGAATTCTTAAATTGGATAGAAAAAAATTTAAGGTCTCAATAAAAAAAAAATTCGAATTGTATAAGATCTCAATAGTCAATATGCATAAAACCCAAAGATTTATTGTTATGGATTATTTCTATTGTATAGTTTTAGATCTGTTTGCACCTTACATTGTGTTGATGAAAAAATGGTGAATCATATTGTACCTTTTCTTCTTATTATTATTATTATTAAAGGATCATCTCATCTAAAAACTTAGGTGATAGGTGAGGGCCTAGAATATAATTTATATTAATATCTAACACATCTTCTCAAGTGAAAGCTCCAATATTTGGGCTTGAAACTTACAAAGGTCCACACTTGTCTTATACTTAATACTTGAGAAATTGGGGATGGTGAGACTTGAATTCGGAACCTCTTTGTCAACCAAGCTCGATACCATATTAAAGGACCATCTCACCTAAAAGCTTAAGTCTGGTTAGGTTAGGTCCCGGAATATAATTTATATTAATCTCGACAATTATTATTATTATTTTATTGTGATTGTAGAATTAATAAATTGTCATGATTCAATTGGTTTTGGATTATTGTAAGTTTACCATGATACTGAAATTGTTATATTTAATTTTCAGGGGATCAATTTACCACAATTTGTACCTAGCAAGCTTAAATTTAACATCCATGACATTCGCTGCAGCTATGTACAATCTTAGTCCAGCATTTACCTATATAGTGGCCCTCTTTTTCAGGTGATTTTTTTTTCCTTCTTTTTTTTAGGTATCTTATAGTTTATTTAATGCATAACTAGCTAGCCTCAAAACATTTATTTTTTATTCAAGAAGAATTAATCAATTTAATATGGGAGATGAGACGTCAGAAAAGATGTGGAGTAATGTGAATGCCTTTGTTGCCTAGAAATAAAATAATAATAATAATAATAATAATAATAATAATATAACAATTATATATATATAAAAACCAAAATAAGTTGTTATTATTACAGAAAAAATGAAGAAAACTCACAATTACAGCATCCTAAAATGGTACAAATCTATGCTTTTTTTTTTTTTTTTTCAGAAACAAGAGCAGTATCGATCCTAACAATTTATTAATAAAAATCTTGAAAAAATACATTGAGGGACAATCGTGTCTGACCCAACAAATTGGAAGGACAAAAAAGCCTTAACTCTAAACACAGGATGACATCCTATAATTAAACAAACTCATCTTATTCTATCTACTACCAAGTTCTACATTTAAAAGTAACTGAAAAAAAATATCCATAATTACTCACCGTCTCATGCTGAAAAGAATTATTAGCCAATTTATTTGCCATCATGGAAAAATCTATGCTGCCCTCCTTTATTGGATTAAAATATTAGACCTCACTATGCAGGCGTTGCCAAATCTAGCCTTAATTTGCCAGAAGGCAACAGAAAATAATTATTTCATTGTTTCTTCAGGATGGAAACTTTCTCACTCGATAATGCAAGGGGGATAGCAAAGGTGGCAGGGACTGCAATATGCATAGGAGGTGCAATGCTGCTTACATTTTACAAAGGCACCGACATCAACATCTGGCACACCAAAATCAATCTCTTGAAACATCACCAGAACACTGTAGGATCAACAAAACAACAAGTTATGGGCATGGCAATTGCTCTGATTGCTTGTGTGTTCTATGCTTTTTGGGTAATACTTCAGGTAAAGGAAAATAAAACTAGATGATTTGGTCGTATGCCCTTGTCCTCAAGTGAAGCAATTGCTTTTTGGTTGATTCTTGCAGTTTTTATCTTCACCATTTAGTCCTTGAAATATACAAGAACTCAAATTTAAACAAATAAAATTGGAAGACTTAAAGAAAATTCTTGACAAAAGTGTAGGGACTAAAAATTGGCATTAATCTTAAAATTATGTGATGAAGTTCACCACAGATGTGGTGACAAGTCACCATATTACTTTTTGTATTAAAAAAAGTAGGTTAAATGATTCAAACATCTCTTATACTTTAAGTGATTAGAGAATTAGTCCATCAACTTTCATTTCGAATTGAATATTTTTTAATTATTTTTTATTTAAAATTGGATCTTTCAATTAGATTTCTATCAATTCTAACCATATAAGTACACACGACTTGCATATGGCTGAGTTTTTATTTTTTATGAATGCTTTTTTTTCCTTTTTTAATTTTTCTTTTCAAAATGTCATTTAATTGCTTACTTCTTATCATTTAAGAAGAACAAAATAAGTTTTGGAGAGAAAAGAAAAATATCTAAAAGTTTTGGTATGTTTTTAATTATTAAGAAATTACATTTATATATTAGAATTGATGAAATCTAATAGAATGACTCAATTCCAAATGAAAAATAGTTAGAGAAAAATCCAATCTAAAATTGAAAGTTAAAATATCGATTCTCAAGTGATTTAAAGTTCAGAAAAGTTTCGATCGTTTAACTTAAAATATATATATATATATATATATATATAAACATCCAAGGTATTCAATACTTCTTAGCATAATAAAAAAATATATATGTGACTATAATTCTTTACTTGATTTCCCTTTTCTGTGGTTGAGGATAATGACAGGCGAAGATTAATAAGAATTACCCATGCTTCTACTCCAGCACAGCTTTGATGAGTTTGATGGGATCAATTCAAGCTATTATTTATGCACTTTGCTTTGATAGGAAATGGTCTGACTGGAAGCTTGGTTGGAATATTCGCCTCATTTCTGTCATTTATTTGGTATGTACATTATATGCATGGTGTATGTGCATGGGTGCTAATTAGTTTAACTTATTTACTCATCTATTCCTTCCAAGCAATCTAATGTCAAATTAATCCTACTCACATCTAAGCTAAAGGATCATGAGAGGGAATGTAACTATGATCATTCTAGGGATTTTGCATGTATCACATGTTTTCACGTTCTGTTTACTAATATATATAATTAAAAATGAATTGTACATCTTCGTATTTAGGTTTTTTTCCTATTCTTTTAAGTAATCGACTAGATAATTACATGCGCTTTGTTGCAGAATGGATATAGACATCTGACGAGTTAAACTCATTTATTTGCAAGCGTCGATATTGTGCATAACAATAGCATTATTATATTGTTTTGTTTGTATTCATAATAAAGAAATTCATGATTTTTCTCGTTACTTGATTTTTAGAATTGAAATACGATATTAGAATAGAGTCAAAGTCTTGATTGTTAAAAAAAATTAAATAAAAATAAAAATAAAAATGACAAATTAAATAGATTAATTTTAAACAATGTATCACTTTGATGGCATGGTGCATAGCTAAAAGAGGCCCACTATTTGAATTTCATTGTGTTTTTGTTAATCGGCACTTTATGTTGTTGGACTTGGTTTACAGGGAACTTTAGCGTCTGGGCTGAATATCACTTTGATGGCATGGTGCATAGCTAAAAGAGGCCCTCTATTTGTTGCTATCTACAATCCCTTGATGCTTTTGGTCGTCGCATTGGCAGGCTCCTTGATCTTTCAAGAAAATCTTCATCTAGGAAGGTGCTCCTTCTTCTTTTTCTTCTAAAAGAAAAACTCGAACCATAGATTTATTGAAAATGGAGGATATGGATATCGGTTGAGCTATAAGCTATTAAGCTCATTGGCATGATTTTCACATTTAATTCTTGAAATAGACAAAAATCTCTCAAATTGAATGTAGCTCACTTGACAATGTCAATGAAATTTCATGTCACAGTATGCTGGGGGAGTGTTGATCATAGCTGGATTATACACAGTTTTGTGGGGAAAAAGTAAAAATTCGAGGAACAAAAATCAACTTGCAGTTTTGCCAAACAATTCTGATCAGGAATCATCAGGAGTTGCTGTTTCCCCTCGATCTAATGTCAATAAAGACAGTGCTGTTTAGATTAATTAATCTTTCTAATGCTACAGTTCTTAACATTGTAATTACTTGTATGAATCGAAGCATGTCAGCAAAATATATTTTGTGGTGAAACTAATGTAATTTTAGCATTTGAATTCATCCACTGATGAATTTCTTAAATCATTCTTGTTATTATTTTTCTGTTTTCAGTTTAATAATTTGATTTTATAACCATAAAATCAAGTTAGATTCACTTCTATTGTTTTGCAACCGATTTTTCTCACATTTAGATGCTGTATTTTTTTTTCTCCTCACATTTTGGGGTAGTGGCTAGTTTTTTTTTTTTTTCATAGGGTTGGTAGTTGTTACCCTATATTTTTCTTTTTAGGGTTTTTGGGTAGGAGAATGATTGTGAAGACCCCCTTAAAATGAAGTGAAAAAGGTGTTTGTATAAGGATTTTTTAGGGTTTGGGATAAAATCAATTTAATTCCTTCCTTAAATTATATTATTTGTCTCCAATTAACTTAATTAAAATTATTTAATCCATATTCTTTTGATTTCTTTTAATTTTGCACCGATTAATTTTCAATCAAGTTCTTTGATTTTTATCCTTTCTAATTACATTCCCGATTGAATGTCACTTGATTCTCGCTTTTCACATCATTTTCGATTGGATCTCAAATCATCTTCTCAATTTTATTTTTTTTCATTCTTTTCTTTCTTCTTTTTTCTTTCTTTTCTCTTTTCTTGGGAGAATAATTCTAAGAAATTAAATGCCTAAAATCATGAAAAAGACAAACTCCGTAATATTCCAATTTATGAATTTCTCTTCTTCTTTTTTTCTAATATGAAAATAAACTGGGGGTCGAAACAGGGATATTACAACATATTTATCGTGTCCTTTTAAGATATCTAAACAAGCAGGATAGTTCAATTTAAAAAATTAAATTTATGAATTATGTGCAATTTACTTAATTTTTTGTTAATCTGAAAGGAGTTATTGGAAAGCTTAAGGATGGAGCTACTTTTCCTTAAATTTTTTTCTTCAAACAAACATTAGTTCATGATGATTCGACTTTTCCTCTTTTCTTTGATTTTGATATCCGAAGTTGTGAATAAAATAATGTATCCCACAAATTTTTTCATATAGCGAAACAAAAAAAATTAACCCAAAGACACAAATATATAATTATACATATTAATTCTCTCTACTATGCTCTGCTACAAGTACCACACCTTACCTTATAACTCTTATAACGGTGACGACTAAAGTGTAGCTTAATTACGAGCCACACTTCTTTTAGAAAAAGGATACTGCAAGTTAAAATCCCCTTCTCCAATGGAGGAAAAACATCCAATTGGCTTCCAATCCACTTGGGAATTTTTTTTGCCTTCTTCTTCTTCTTTTTTTTTTTAATAAATGCCTTTGCAAAGGATGAATGGCCAATCATTTTTGCATGCATGAAAAGCAAGAGCATAAATGTTACACCAACAATGGTCCCTTGGTTTCCACTGGCTTTACTTGTTCCAACTCTGAGCATTCTTTGTCACCTACAGCCTTTAAACAGTTCTCACCATTCATTTTCTCTTCTTTACTTTTCCCCCATAGAACGCTATAAAGGCCTCCGACCAACACGAGTCCACCCAAAACACTACAACACAAGAAAGTGGACAAAAGAAATTAAAAACAATGAAACAGTGACTAATTTTATAAAAAAAATTGTGATCATTTTCTCCTCTTTGGGTCCTCAAACTGTTAGAAATCTTCAATCGGATTTCCTATCTAAAGTGGTAAATTTTTAGCAGAAATCATCGAGTATTTTCAAAAGAATTGTCTTTTTATTCCACACACACATATATATATATATATATATGACAGGACCCAAGTGAGAATTTTTAATATGTTGAGGATCCAATCGAAAAACATAACTTATATGGAAATCCAACTGAGAATTAGTGTATAAATTAAGGATCTGTATAAGGTTTGAACAAAGAATTGAAGTACCTTCCCAAAGTGATGATCTCGCATAGGAGAATAGCAGAAAAGAACATTGTAAAGACCAAAATGAATGGTGTAGACATGGCCAAGAAAACTGGCCCTTTCTTCTCTATAATCCACGCTTGCAAGTAGAATGTAACACCAGTCACCACAATTCCCTGTCACAAATTGTAAACGTATATTAACATATAGCTACTTATTTTCTACAACTTCATTCGATAAATTTTTAAAACCATTAATCTAAAAATGTCTTTTCCGTAATGATTACATAAATTTTCAAAACAGAGTGTTCTAACACACACAAATCCATAACATTTTATGTACGTTAAAAAAATTGTTTAACTCAAAAGTTTAAGTTGTTAGATTAATTATAACCATTAACAGTTCATAATACTATAACAAATCTGAAATGAGTATAATGCCATTTTGGTAACTATTGTGAGGCAAAGAAGATACGGTATAGAGTGGATGGAGAATTTACACAGTAAGCTACAGCAACAAGTCTGACATTCCAGCCCAGCTCCCACTCATGAGGATCTCTTTCAATGGAAATGGCAATGGCAAATAACTGAATTGTGCTTAGAAAGCACTGAAGAGTTATGAATAGAAGCTTTGATGGGTAATTTTTCAAAACTCGTACCTGTCTCAAAACAATGAGCAAAGTCATCAACTCATGAAGTATATATGTAGATATGGCCATGCACTCCACGATCAATGATTAAAAACGTAGCTAGGTCGAGCTACCTGCACAACAAGCCATAAGCCCCATAAAAAGTTGGACACGAACAAGAGGAAGCAACCCTTTATCCTGGTTTCATTGGAAGGAACATGACTTATGATTGCTTGGCTGCTATGGCTCCCAAAGACGTGATGAAGGCACAAAAGATTAAAGTGAGGGCCCTTGTACAAGGCAAGGATTGCTGCACCTGCTAAACATGCTACTATCCCAGCAATCTTGGCAATCCCTGAGACTGACCTCAATTTCAACTTCTCCATTCTGTAATCCAAAATTTTCATAAGTTAATCCAAAGAAACTTGAAGTTAAATAACAACAAAAAAACGCTCCAATTTGCAAATACATAAAATTGTAATTAATTTCATAGCTTGTGGACGCAACAAGGTCAATCAAGTGTTAGGTGTTCAAATTATAAAACGGATCCAATTTTTATACGTAAAAAAACTTAACTAATTAAATTTTGGGGAATAAATAATTAAAACTAATTAAACTTGCAATTGGATCCATGTAGAGATTAAGTAAAAAGGAGTTGCCAGTGCCCATGCATGATGAGTAATTCTTAAAAGATTACTTGAGTTTAATCCAAAAAGGAAAAGAAAAGAAAAGAAAAGCAATAAAGCAATTTCTGATGGTGGAGCTTACAAGAATCCTAGATTTATGATGGAGAAAAGCGAAGTTGACAAGCATCCTAGATGTATTTATTGATATATAAATATGATAAGAATCCTGGATTTAAAATGGATAAAGCAAAGTTGACGAGAATAACAAGCTAATTGTATAATTTGTATAGAAATTCATGGTAAAATTAACTAGCCGCATTCCCGTGGTTATATATATATCATGTAATTAATCTTTTTTTTTTTTTTTTTTTTTGTAAGATAGAAAATTGTATCCACTAATTAAACTAATTCTAATATTCTTAATAAAATTTTAAAAAATAAAAGGTAAGACCATCAAGGAGACACCCAAAGGAGCATATTTTTCAAATCCCTCAAGAACAAATATTTGAATCAAATCACTTTATTACTAAACAAACCAAATAAATTATCCTAAAATTCACTTTATTAACAAACATTTCAAACAAATTCGATCCGTCAAATATATTCGTAAAGAAAAAAGTGTAAATATCCATTTGATTTATTGAACAAATTTTCCTAATAATTAGACATTTATTGTTTAATATTTGTTTTACAGAATTTATACCCATCAAAGTTTAGTGGTAGGGATAGCTAAATTGGAATAAAAAATTGCAAAGTCCTCTATCAAAATTAATGAGATGGTGTCATGCATTGCCCATTTTAGATGCATGAAAAGCAATGACATGACTACTCTAACAACAGTTTGAAGAAGCAACAGGAGCTCACAAATCTCCAGGCACAAGCAAATTGATTATAAGTAGGTCTCAATGTATGCAAACATGAACAATTTTAGAAGGTGTAAGTGGTTTTTTTTGACGTTGTCACATCATGTCGTGCTACGATGGTGAACATCAATTTTAAACCTAAAACAACACTTCTTGCTTTTGCAAAAGGAAAATATATCTCTAGACTAGAAAGTTCTTCTGTTTTGGATGACCATTAACTTGCTTTTACTTACCAATAATGAAAGTTTGCGTGTTACTGATTACCTGAGTAGAAGTGCCAGGAAGAAAGTGATGACTGGAAGGCAGTTTGAAATTGCAGCAGCCAATGTCGCGGATGCATAGACGATGCCAATACCAAATATATCTAAGCACAAGCTAATCCTGAAATTGGAATCACAAAAGCAAATAAAATTTTCAAACTGTTTAGACACTGATTAATTAATCTAAAAGAAGATTGAAATCCTCAAAATGAATATTTCACAGAATTGTTTTAAAGCCAAAGTCATGCATGTTGATCATGCTAAGAACTCATACTGTAGAGGAGGAAGAAAGTACTTGTAAATTGAATTTGAATGCATACCCAAATAGAGAGAGGAAGAAAATCTTGCAGAAGGTCCCGAACGATAGTGGTGGTCTATTTTTCCTACATAATTCAAGATGAAATAGTTGTCAACTTAATTTCAACATCATGATTAATAAAATCAAGATGATCAAACCACAAAAAAGAAAAAAGAAAAGAAAAAGAAAAAGAGAGCTCGAGCATTGAAAACTATACCACTCGAAATAGAAGGCAAAAGGGGCTAAGAAAAGAGTTGCAGCTGCTTGTCTATAGAAGACAAAGACATAGTTGTTCATGCCACCATTGAAAGCAGCCTTTGAGAGCATGAACATACCACCATAGATTGATTGCACTAAAAGCACAGCCAAATAAGTCTTCTTTTCACCCATTGTTCGACGAAGATATATATGTATCTATCAAAGCTTCAAATTGTTCTTCTAAGATTATTTATGGCAGCTAAAACTTCAATAATGGTTAAAGCTACAATAAATGGTGAAAGCTAGGTTGCATGTTTGGTTATGCTCACCAAGGTTTATATAAGTTCAACATTCAAAGGGCAATGATGAGAATATCCAACGAAAACTCCTGGCTTCTTCTAAATTAGGACGTGTGTGGCCAAGATAGAAGGCTACTTTACAACTATAGTAAGGGACCACAAAAAGTTTTGTTATAATGGTGTCTCTATTCCCTACTCAAGGAGTGATTGTTTTTTGAATTGGAACCTTGATAGCAACTTGAGTATGACACGAGGGCCTAGGGCGTACAGGGGGTATATGCTACTATTAGTTTCTCATCATGTGAATATACATGTTCCTAAAATGGTATTCAATAAATTACGAGTAAAGACCTTACAGGAAAGTTTTCTGAAAACAGATTACTGAGAATTTCACCTGGAAACAGGAACAGGGAAGTTACTTGATCTAAAGAAACAAAGCTGTGTCCTCAACACAGGATACAAAAGCATTGAATTGTAACAGACAGAAGGCTAAAAACAACAAAAGCACTAAATTGTGCACACTTCTCCTTTGTTTTTACAGAAAATTTAAATAAAACAATTGCTAAAATTGTTGCTAGCCACAAGTTGAAGGATTGGTGTTCTTTGCGATTTTTTTTTCTTTCAAAATTTTAGAAATAAAAATAGACAACTCATTTGTTTTGGATTCTTTTGTTGAAAAAAAAAATTGTTACTGTTGAATTTAGGATGAGATGATAATATTAAAGAAGTTAAAAACCAAAATGAAAGAGTTTTAAATTTCAGGGGCCATTTTGCTGTATAAATGAAGGTGACGCCTATCAATATCTCATTATGTATTACAACATTTTTCCATCATACTCTTTTATAAGAAAATCAATCAATTGGAGTATTTACTTATTCTCTAATGTATCCTCTTATCAATTAATTTTATTAAAATTGATCGTCACGTCCGCAACACTTTAGTATTTTTAATATAAATTGATAGAAAAAAAAATCGTTTTAACTCAGTATAATACAAAAATATATATTTTAATGCGAGAATTCGAACCTCCATGAGTTTGATCATATATTCAAACTATCGCATACAACGTACAAAAATTTTAATTTTTTTCTTCTTATTTAAAAGGAGTAATTTCTATTTACTTAAAAAAATATTTTCGTCAATTCATATTGAAACTATAATAAATTGTGACAGTGAATGCTAATTTCTAAAGAAATAGTTGATAAAAAGATATATTTAAAAAATAAGGTCAGGCTAAAGGTTATAATTTATTGATTTTTTTTTTTTGTTGAAATAATATGATTAATGAATTGTATAAGAATATATAAGGATATATTGATAGGTGTTTTTTATAAATAAAAGTAACCATTTCTAATGGTATTGTTTCTTAAAGCAAAAATGAATATATCATCCAGAGATGTAGTTTAGTAATAATAAAAAGGTTGTTTTAGCTTGGTTAAGATCAAAATTCAATTTTCATTATCCATATATAACTAGTCATAAAAATTATCCCTTAGTGGTACCAAACTTAGGTTGGTTTGGTCGAAGAAATAGTCTACTCGTTCGACTAAAGGTTAGGTGTATTCTAACACTAGTTTAGTCTTAAAAGCAATGAACGTAGTCTCGATTAATGTAAAAAATGACTTAAAAGTATCTTACTTTCTATAAATACTATAAAAATACAAAATTAAGTAAACAAAACAAAATTGTCTATCTTTGTGTTTTTGGGTTGTATTTTGTTAAGATAAGCCTATTTCATGTCTCCTTCAACAAGTATCATCTTCCTCTTCTACCTCTGTTATCATGTTCCCTTCCTCTTGTAAGTCTCCCGAACATAAGCAATAACAATATACCGATAAAAATAGAAGATATCTAATGATATTAGATAACAATAAAAGTAAGGAATAGAAGTCTTATTTGTTATCTCTTTGTAGTTTGTTAAAACTCTATAAACTTATCTTATGTATAACTCTATAAAAGATGGAGTAACACAAGCAATACACTATTGAACTTTTACACTCTGCTAAGACTTCTTCTAATTCAATTTGGTATCGGATCCTCTTAAGGCTAAACTAGCAAAAAAATAAAAATAAAAAAATAAAAAAAATTCTAACAGACTTCGTTCTATTTTTTTTTTCCTTTCTTCTTTTCCGTTTACACTACCCTATGGCCACTTCTAGCAATACCTCTTCTATTCCCACCTACACACCTAATTCAACTTTTGCGTCTTCCATTATTCGGTTAACTAATACTCACCAATTCCTCTTTTTGAAAATAACCATTACCAATTTTCTACTAGCGTATACGAGATGAAACCTTTCCTTTTTGGACAAGGCTTATTTGGTTTTGTTAATGGTTCAAATATATGTCCTCCTAAACACATTGTTTATGTCGGTGATAGTTTACCCACACTTAATCCTAGTCATCTTTCTTAGGTTCAAGTAAGATCAACTACTCACGAGTCCTTTCATTGCCTTTTTATCTACCGATGTACTTTCTATGATTATAGATTATGCTACATCTCGTGTTGTATGGACTGTGCTATCATTCTTTATGATATTAAATTATAACTCTTTATCAACTAATTTAGGAGGTAAGAAAAAACGAATCAAGATTTTTTTGGATAAAATTATCCTTCGAACCAAATTTTTCAAAATACCTTTTGCTCAACATTTTTTGTTCATCAAAATAGATTTATCATTTGATCATTTGTCTTTAATAACATTAAAAAAAAAAAAAAAACCATTTTTTTTATAGAAATTTTGCATGGCCTAAAAATATTTTGCCTTCCTAGCTTGATAACCCTCTTGAAGAAATGGTATCATAGCATTTAAATATTATGTTTTGGTTCTTGACCAATCAATTTGAACACCTTCATTAATGAAAATACTTCATTAGAATATCTCTATATTTCTGTCAAATGATTAGAATTTTATTCAAGAGAATCATTCAAGTTCATGGCTTAATCTATGAAAATAAATGTTTATTCAATAATTTTTCTCAAAATATGATAAAAATTTCAAGACCAATTTATAAATTGAGATGCAAGCCTCTAAAGGTGAAAGTTAAACACAAGTAGTGATGGTGCAAAGGAAATGACAAATGTATAATCTCAACTAGCACTTAAGAGTATACCATGACCCGAACCGAATGGTAATCTACAAAATTAAAAATATTTAAGGCAAAGTCAATGATCTAACAACTTAAGTTCAACAACTTATCAAACAATGACATCTTTGATCCAATTGGAGGAATGAAAGCTTGAACGGTAAGCATTTGAGAATTAATCAAAGAAACCAAAATGGTCAAACTAAGGGCAAAAGAGTGCTCTCAAGAGGGGATAATGGCTCAACAAGAGTTTGGCAAGCAAGTGAAGCGATTGGGAACAATCAAACCAGATGTATCATAATAGATGGATTTTATCACCTTCAAAGGTTCAAAAAGTCCAATCAACCTCGAGTTGTTTGTGAAAAAATGAAACATCTAAGTTTACAAAGAGTAGTAATCAAAGCTTGGAAGGCAAGGAAATTGTGGCGAGTGCCATAGAATATGGTTCGAGTATAGATGTCTAGATGCCTAAGAAGGAAACACTAAGGAGGGAGTTGAGTGTTTGTAAAGGGGCAACCTATATTTCTTATAGGTAATAAACTAACCATTATAATCAGCCTCATTGATATATTTCATAAATATCATCACAAATGTACGTACAATGCAGTCATTCAAGCCAAGAAATTCAAAAATCACAAGATCATGAGGGAACTCATGTTCATTAATCACTATTTTTGGCAATACTTTATAGCCGGATGGTAGGAATGCTTCAATATTCTATACTAACAAGATTAGACAATGCTTATGCCGTTAACAAAGTATGTCGGCTCATGCATGCCCCTAAAGATAAGCATTGGGTTACTCGTCAAATGTATTTATGTTATCTCAAACACACTCGTCACTCTTGCTCTACATCTTCGTAAATCTCATTCGATAACCCGTCTAGTTTTTCAAACTCTAACTAGGCAGGATCTTTGGATGAAAAAAAATCTACCGAGGGTATGTCATTATCATGTCCAAACTTGATCTCTTATAAGTTCTCTAAGCGTAAAACGATTGCAAGCAACTCTATGAAAACTAAATATAAAGCAATAGGTCAATTGGTTGCTGAAATATCTTGGGTCAATTCTCTCCTTAGTGAATTTGCGAGTTGTGATGACATCCAAACCAATAGTCCGGTATGATAATATTGGAGCTACATATCTAGTTGTTAATCCTTTATTTCATGTTCATAACAAGCACATCAAAAATGATTTTTATTTTGTTAGGGGCATGGTTTTAAGGGAGAGCTTACGAGTGCTTTTCATTTTCAATCAAGATCATATAGCAGACATCTTTACCAAACCTTTAGCTTCTTCACATTTTTAGCTTCTATGGAACAAACTCTCTCGTGGATGAAAGACCTTCGACCGTTTCGAGGGGAGAGTTAAGACAAGGTCGTGTCGTGTCTCCTTCAATAATATCATCTTCCTATTTTGCCTCTAATGTCGTGTTCCCTTCCTCATCTAATCTCTTAATCATATGCAATAATAGTATACCAGCAAGGATATAAGACATCTAATGATATCATATAATAGCAAAAGTTGAGGATAGAAGTTTTACTCTTTATCTTTTTGTAGTTTGTTAAAACCTTGTAAACTTATCTTAGGTATGACTCTATAAAAGATAGAGTAACACAAGCAATACACTATTGAGCTTTTACACTCTACTAAGACTTCTTTTAATTCAATTTATTTTAATGAAAACCTTAATAAATATTCACTAGGAGAAGTTTGCTTGTTTTTTTAAGATTTAAACTCAAGATTTTTAAAAAAGAAGAAAAATACTAATATCGGTTAAGCTAACGTTAGGAGTTAGCTAATCAATTTATCAAATAAAATATATGGTCAGTCATTAAAAAAAAAAAAAATCCCATCTGTCCGAACTAAAAGGATTAAAAAGAACTTTTGGCTTTGGATAATTAAGACATGAAGGTGGGAGTGTCCTAAGGGCAACAAAACTAATATTGTGATCGTGAAATGCATGGAGGCAAAATAATCTATCCAGTCATACTATTTTCATTTTTTTTTTTTTACGGTACCAAAATTGTAGGTGGAGTAATAAAAAGAATGTATTTAACTTATTAAATTAAGAGTTAGATTTTTATTTTTTATTTTTAAACTCATTTTTATTTTCTGAGTGACTAAACATGGGTTGTTGGTGGATTCAAAAAGTCTAATTTTTAAAATTGATCGAGATTTAATTTTCATTAATATGAAAAACTGATTTGAATATATATATGCCCTAAAAGAAGAAACATATAAATATATATACATAACAAAATGTAGCCACTTGTTCAAAGTAAGAGTAGAATATAAAGAGTGATCAGTTCCAATCTCAAATTTAGGAAGTCCTTATATTTAAATATAGTTAATATTGATCTTGTTGTTTTACCCAAAAAAAAAAAAAAAAACACATTAATGTTCTTTTTTTTTCTTTTTTTTTTTAATTATTACATGTAAGTTAATCACTTTATTTTATTGGGCACAACAAACAGGGCCAAAGTCTGTAAGCCTCCACTCATCAAAGGAAATATTTCTTTATTAAATGCGTCTTTTTTATTTTATAACAATTTATGATCTGTTCCTTTCTCCATATATATTATATCATTTTATGATTCCTTCTTTAAATTATTATACATCAGTGCGTGGACTGTGCACTAAAATTTAATAAATAAGATTTTCTTTCGGTGAAATGTTCTGCTTTCCTTGATATATATGCGCATTTTTGGGAAATGATTGATAAAGTAATGATTAACATTAATGCCTGATCCCCCTCTTTTTCGTGTGGCTATTTGCTCTTCTTTCCAAGTAATTGATCTATCATCAATTTTTATAAGATTACTTTTTTTAAAGGCATGATAAATTATTACTATTAATTATGTAATGGTCAATCAAGCATTACAAGACATAAATAACTTTTCAGGTTACTCAAAAAAAAAAAAAAAAAACATGAAGATACCGTCCTTAGAATTTTATATATCTCTCTCTATACGTAATTAAGAAAACGTTGTTTTGGATTTGTCTGGCATTTAAAAATATTGGCGAGATGTATTTATAATTTTAAGGGCAATGACTTCGTCTGTCAATTCCATCCATAAAAATTTAAGGATAAATATATTCATTTATACTTATATAATACTTAAAGTTTTTCATATGTTACATTTTATTTTTTTCTGAAAATATTTAAAATGTTTAATCTGTCATTTCAATCTATTTTTCAACTAAATAAAAGAAAATTAACTAAAATGCTTTTAATTAAAATACAGAAAAAATAAATAAATAAAATTCTAAAAACTTTAAAAATAGAATATATATGTCACCTGACTTTAATTGTTTTTTTTTTTTTGGTATATTGTATATTAGTAAAGGACATTTCGGTCAAAAAAAGCTTCCATACTTTTAAAATTTAATCGACATATGAGGTTCTACAAATAAATAAGAAACTTTGAGTATTATATAAGGACAAATGGATATATCGATTCTAATAAATCATTAAAAATTTAATATATTTTTAGTCTATCTTTATGTTAGATCTTCTCCATTCAAACCAACAGAATTATAGTACATGACTTGCATATGATGAAATTAATCTTTTATATGTTCAAAATGCCCTAACTTTAAACTCGTTAAAATAAGTTAATGCATTTTTTTTAATTAAAATTCACCACGTTAATTAGATTGCTATTTATGCAATCTTGCAACTTCAACCTCTCATGAATAGAATTCATTTAATGACATTGAACTTTCAAATTTGTCGTACAGTAACTAAATTGATTGTCAATAGACAAATACCAACCAAATTGATTGTCCATAGACAAATACCATAGATGTATCATTTAGGTAAACATATATAATATTAACGATGACCTTAGATCCTTAAACAACAACGTCTATTTGGTATAGTAATTTTGTCAATACAAAGTAAAAATAAATAAATAAATAAATAATCTATTTTAGATTATATAACAACGTTTAATTAATAAATAATCAGATGAAAGGGACATAAATCATGTCTAATTGGAAGTGAAATAGTTGATTTAATCTAATTTAAAGAAATTAAAGAGATTGACACCGACATGGTATCTCCTTGACACTTGCATGTGTGACTTTTAGCCATGTCATGCATATACCTAGTTCTGAGATTCAGCAATATTGCGTTCAGACTCTCAAGTCTCCCTTGAGGTGTCAGTCTCAAGTTTTATGGATGGTTGATAGACAAATCTGGCACATCTTTTGTTAAAGCAAGAGAGCGTCTAGTAGTAAGAAAAAGATTTCCCTGACTAAGTAATCACGTTTCGTATGATATATCTTAGCACATGCTAAATCAAGATACAGCATCATTTTCTCGTAATAAAGACTTGTACATATGGTCCCAAAGCTTGTTTGAACATCGTGATCCACATTATGCATATGGTTAATTAAAAATATCTACATGTGATTGAATTTTGTTCTTAATGAAAGATCAATAAAGAGAAATTATGGCATGTCTTAACTTTAAAAAAATAGGATTGAGCTTTTGAGATTAGATGTTTTATACCCATGAAAATTATATTAGTCCACGAATCAAGTCAAAAAAAAACAAAAATCTAGGAAAAAAGCACAAGTGCAAAGAAATCATTAATCTTGTGAAATTGACTAGCTATCATGCGTACATAAAAAGTGATCATAATCCTACCAGTAAAAGCCAGGACTACCTAGCTAGGTAGTCCTTTTATTAAGGTACGCCGCTTCCAATCATTAATGCATCATCCCCTTTCTTTTCTACAACGAGTTAATTTGTTGATGACGAAATACCTTCTGAATTCCTTGAATAACATGTGACTTTGGTCCTTGCCGCAACGTGAGAGTTGAAACGGCGGTTGAAATATCAACAAAATTTGTATAATCACAAAATTGCGCAGTGCAATTTTTAAATAACAACGATAATAATGATAATAACGAAATTCCATAGAAGGCTCTTGTAGCATGGAGAATTTAGCTATCACTCTTACTAATCTATTGTGAGTTTTTTTTTTTTAAAAAAAAAAAAACTCTAAAGAAATAAGTAGAACGGTCAAAAAATTTTGTTTACTTCCTTTATTAATTTTAGGATTATGGAATCAAAAGTAAAAAACTACACACACTAGAAAAGAGAAAATTAATATACTTTATTTTGGGTTGTGTTTTGAGATAATTAGAAAGAAAGACAGTATGGAAGTATTTTAGATTATAAAAAAAATCATAATGTATTGTTTTGTTTTTCATAGATTGTATGCTGCAGGCAGTACGGCAGAGTTCAATCATGGCTTAAATTTAGGAAATGTTGTTAAAATGACTCTCATCGGATGCCATCTCAATCAAGATTTGCATGGTGCTAAGAACGTCACATCTGTTTCAAAAAATCTGCTAAAAAAGAAAAAAGCTGAAAAAAACAAGGCAATAATAATAATAATATATAAATAAACCCTACTTAACGTACGTACAATTGTTTTTCATGAAAATCAAAAGAACACTTATACTTCTCCCAGTTCACAAAATCCTTATAAGATGACGAAAGACACGTAGTGTCAAAAGATCGATATTGGAAATCAATGCTCTCCCTTCCAAGAAATGAGAGAAAAATTTTGGATTCTTTCGACTTGACAAATGCGCCATGATGGCTACACAACAACGTTAGGTTTAAAGGGAAAGGCAAAGAGATGTTGATTACTCAGAATCCAGTTGGCCCGCGAGTAAGAAAGGGAGGCCGTTACCATTTTCATGGCACTTTCAAAGCAAACTCCTGAATTGGGAGTCTTAGCAACACTTAATCAGCAGTGAGGATGGATAAAGGCGCCATGCATTGGAAAAAGCAGAAGGATGCAAAGGAAAAAAAGAGAGAGAGAGAAAAAAGATGAATAGATTATCATCCATCTAATTACTTGACTTAAAAAAAAAAAAAAAAAAAAACATAAAAATCTATTCATTCAAACTAAAAGTCCAAAAGAATGGGTTTTGCACATATCGAGATCCTATATAATTCGAATTTTTTTATTGAGACTTCAAGTTTTTTCTATCTAATTTAAAAGTTTTATTTTTATATTGTTATTATTTTAGACCTTAATGTATCACGTAAGTTCTACGTGGCAAGTTTCTAGCTAATGACGAGTTTACCACATGTCATGACGGATCCAAATTAGATGATTAAATTGATGATGTGGCAAGTTGTCATTGGCTAAAGTTTGTTAGAACTTGCCACTTGTGTTTACATAACAAGCTATCATTAGCTAGGATCCGAAACAATAATAACATAAGATTAAAACTCTTAAATTTGATAAATAAATAAAAATATTAGGATCTCAATAAAAAAAAATCTAAATTATACGAGTCTCAACATACGTAAAACCTTTAAAAGAATATAAAACAAAGATAAGAACGAGTATGTAAAAAAGTAGAAGGATAACATTAAAAGAAATTGTCCAAATTAAAAGAAGTGGAAGGGATTGAAATGTCCATCATGTCAAACAAAATAAACACTCAATCCCTCCTCTTCTCGTTCCTTCTTTCTCGATCCTTATTGACAAACACACCCTTAAGGAAGGCAATTTTGTCTGAAAGCACACATTACATCAGCTGCAAAGCAGAAATTTTCTTGAGAAATTTCATCTTCTCAAGTAATGTCGATGTTTCCTTGAGAAGATAGGCAAAGTACATCAAGTCTTCATTTTGGACTTAATTATTAACCTACCTACTTTTTTGAAACTTCTTTTGGACCATCAATCGTAGATTTGGTAGTGTGGTTCTAGCCTTCTTTGCGTGTACCACAATTAAAGAAAACGATTTAAAGGTGCGTTTTTTAATTGGTTCCATTTCATTAAAGAAATTAAAGATTACAAAAGAAAAGGTAGGCAAAAAGAGAATAGCTACTACATAAACACTTAAAAAGCCTTTTTGGCCTCAACAGACAACTAATTAGCACGCTTAAGAGCAAAACACGAGCCATCAGAGGGCTTAAGCACAAGAAATTGGACTAGATAACATTACTTTCTCATGTTCGTGTACAATGAAGTTGCAAAAACTATTTTTTAAAGTCGAAATCTATTAATAAAAAAGATTTTTAGAAGGGATAAGGGAGAGGATAAAATAAATAGTGCGCAAACTCACTATTAAAATGTCTATTTTTTAATTGTTTGATCCTTCACATGAGTAACAATATTGTCATTTAAAATTAATCCGCTAGAATTTAAACTTATGATCGTTTGCAAAAGATCACTATCATTGAGCTAAGATTCTATCCAAAAGACTTAAGTCTTGTGATGGGTAGTCTCTTCTCAACTTTTTATATTATTCATTATTGATTTAACTATTCAATGTGGGATATGTATATAACTATTCAATATGTGATATGTACTCTAACACTCCTTTAATTTACAATCTATCTTTTAATGTCTCGTCAAATGGTTTGGGTTGCGGGATCTTTGCTAGATTGTTAGGCCTCTTTGAGATTCTAATATTATAACAAAAGACTATCTCAACCCAAAAACTTAAACTCGCTAGATGAGGTCCTAAGATATGATTTATATTATTCGAACTCGCGATTGTTTGATCATTAAAGCTCTAATACCATGTTAAATAATCATTTTAACGTAGAAGATTAAATTATTAGATAAGACCTTGAGATATTGTTTATATTATTCTCTAACTATAACTAGAGTGTTGTAATTGGGAGAGTGGGCTGAAAGACAAGTACTAGGATATATAAAATACATTCAGGATGCATAATTTAGAGAAAATAAACATATTTTCTTATTTTCCTTTTACAAGAAAATAGTAGAATAAATACAAGGCTAAAAAATAAAATCTCTCGATAGGTATTAGAGAATAATATAAATTATTTTTTAGGACCCCATTTAACGAGTTTAAATTATTAGGTTGAAATGATTATTTAATAAGATATTAAAATTTTAATAATCAAACAATCACAAGTTCCAATATCATTAGTTCTATTTTTCAAATTTGAATCTTACCACTTTATTTTTTGATAAGAAAACAAAAACAGAAATCACAAAGCAAATGAAGAATTACAAATTAGAACAGAACAACAAATGCAAGATGAAGAAACTGGAGCAGAAGAAAAGGGAACCCACATGAGCTGCATTGAAACAACCATAGCTCCCAACAGAAATCACAAGCCTGATGAAGATAAATTCCAAGTCCTTCATTTTGATCACAGAGCAAAACTGATGGGTTATAAGATTCTGCCATCTACCCCGCCCTAATTTGGATGATCAATTCCTTTCACAATAATGATTCTAACCCTCGATTTTCATGAGCTTTTTATTTTATCGACAATAATAGATATTTTCAGAGTAGTTTATATGTTAATTAAAAATAATATTTTTTTTAGATGATCTTAAGTACGCAAAACTCTCCTTGACTTACTACATTTAAAAAAAATATTTGTTTCTATATATTGAATATCCAAGATTCAAACTTAAAAAATTAAAAAAAGAATCAAACCTCCTTAATCATTAAACTTACCTCCTAGGGTTAGATTTTCATGAACTGAACAAGGTAGCGAGCAGGCTCTGTTCTCTTAGAATGAATCAATATCAACATTGTTTCCTTTTCTTACTTAGTGCAATTAAATTGTGTTAAAAAATAATATAAATTTATTTTTAAAAACTCACTAACAACTTTAATTTTTTAGTTGAAATAATTTTTTTTTAAGATATCGAGTTTTGATCACTAAATAGTCAGAAGTTTGAACCTCATTTTCTCCAATTATATCTAATTAAATAAAAAAAATAAGCACAATGCAGTGTTAGTGACTAAATATAAAACCATTCCTAGGACTTTCACTTTTGAATAATATAAAACCATTTATGAGATTTTCTTTTTAAAGAGCAATATAAAATTCCTATGACTTTCACTCTAGAGATTAATATAAAATGAAATGCTTAATATCTATGGATATTTATTTTATCTTTATTCGTCTTGATATCTATTCGTCATTTTTAATAAGTATTTATCGGATAGAATGGTTTTCGTTTCAAGTTTGATCCATTGAAATCTCTAATATTAAGAAAATACTTTTTTTTTTAATTGTATAACTTAAAATCCATAGGCTTCCTGTTAATTTTTTTTTTAAAAAAAATAATAACTAAGACTATGAAAGTCAATTTATCACTTATTGATTAGTCTGGAAGTGATATATATGTATATACTTTAAAACCAACTTGAAAATACCACTCAAAATTCAAAAAACACAAAGCACCATATGCCATATACCGTTCAGCATTCAAGAAAATGCGAGCTGCCGTCCAATTCAAGACACAAAAAGAGAATCATCCAAGAACAAAAAAACGAGAAAAGAGTATTCAGTCTTGATCAGGAGACCTTGACAGGTGATAACTCATCACGTCTAGAGTCCGTAGATTGATACTGACACCCCATGCAAAAGATTACATTACTCTCTCAGCCATCATGAATTAAAAAGGTGTGAAATTAAAGAAAGGATATTAAATAGATTTGAAAATGAAATTAAGTGAGGACCACTTTATTATGTGACTCATCATCATGGAACCATCATGAATTTATGGTGATAAAAAAAAAAAAAAATCCAATGGCCAATCGAAAAGCAACGCTTCAGTCGAATTAATGTCATCTTCCGCCTCCAATTATATATTATTAAGCCTATAAGCTATGTGGTTATTGAACCAAAAGAAAAATGTGATTCTTATGCTTTATATATATATATATATATATATATATATATATAAAGAGAGAGAATAGAAAAAAAAATCACATAACACAATATTAATGTAATTCGATAAAATGTGTCTATTTCGTGTCTATATTAAGAGTTTTTATTAGGTTTTCAATTGACAATTACAAATACAAGAGATATTATCTTTATTTATTGCGATAGCTTTATACTAACTTTATTTAGCGCACTAAATTGCAAGTCATATCTACATTAGTCTTCATAATTTAATAATTTCTCACTTGAAAAACTAAAGTTTAAATAACACTAAAACCTTCTATAATTGTCCTTTTTTTCTCCACCAACTTTGAGTCCTCTTAGTGCATTGCCTTCTCATAATTAACTGTGAAAGCCAATTGAGGCAATGCAAAACCTTAGTTTATCAATGGTGACTACCTTAGTCGAGCATATTAGCTAGATTCTTCAATTCTAAAATCTTATTCAAATATATTATCTTATCATCTAACAACTCCTTGATACGGTGATAATTTAACTAAATAAGTTTGGTTCTTGCATGAAATACTAAATTTTTGGCAAGGTGAATTGCATTCTAATTATCATTGAAGAGTTCACTATCTTTTTGTGCCTTACCCATTTCCCTTAAAAAGTTCTTCAACCAAATCATCATTTTACCGAGTTTTTGAAATAGCTATATACATAGCTTCAGTGGTGGAAAGAGTAATACACTTCTAAAATCAAAACACTCAACTTACAGTAGTATCATCTAAAGTAAAATCATAACATGTTGCATTTTTTCTATTATTCGGATCACCACCTAAGCCTACATCAACAAATCCGGACAAATGCCTTCGATCTTTGCAATGCTCTAGTCAACTTTCAAAGATGTATGGTAAGTATTTTTTTCAGATTATATTGAGCGTAGTATTAAAGTTTTCATGGATGACTTTACTCGTGTATGGAGACTCATTTGATGCATGCTTAGATAATCCGAATTGTATGCTTAAAAGATGCATTAAAACTAACCTTGTTTTTAATTTTGAAAAATATCATTTTATGGTAGAATAAGAAATAGTTTTAGGAAATGTAATTTAATTTAAGAGTAACAACAATAAATAACAATTACAAACATACTGAAATTTATTAAATAATGACCGTTATGTTGTATAACAACCGTTATTTGGAACAATTAACCTCACACTTGACCAAAAAAATCAATGTGCCTTATGACCTAAATAATATTCATATCCTCTTGTTCAAAGAAACAATAAATAAAGCACCAATTCCACTACAATGAAAAACCAACACAAGACTTATTTATTTATTTATTTGAAGATTAAGAGAAATATAGTGTCAAATTTCGCGTGTCAAAACTAATTTATTCTCTTATAAAGGATCAAAGACATGCATTTACATCAAAACTATAAGATTTATGAGAATATTACTTCTCACAACTTGATGTAAATATCGAACTCTCATGGTTAAAGGAGTACACCTACTTAATCACACATCAATCACATTTAAATCAAAAAAAGATTATATTCAATGTCTTTTGGCATAAGCTTCTTAATTTTTTAGAGCTAGTTTAGTATGGGGAATGTAAGTGGGCCAAGGAAGCTAATAAGAGTTTGCTAATTAATCACCAAAAAGTCAAAGATCAAGTAGCAACTTTTCAAAATTGCAAATTATTCAAATGTAAACAGGACCTAGAAGATTTCATCAAATTCTGTCATCAGGCTTCTGAGGATGAAATTTTCCACTTTGGGCCCAAATAACACAAATGGAAAGTCAATCTAATGGGCCCAACAATATAATCCAAACTTCATTCAGCCCATAAATCCAACGACACGAACCCACATGCAGAGCACGTGAGTTAGGGTTTAACACTTCTTGTTTTTCTCCTTCTCTCTGCCAGGGCTTCCCTTTTATAAAACCTTAAACCCTCGTCACTCCATCTCGAAAAACCCTTCATATCTACCATGGAATGAACCGAAACCCCATTCTAATTCCCTTGCAAAACCCTAACCCTAATCCTAAACAATGATCATCTCAAAGCACTTTTCTTCGAAAACCTTCCTTTCACTCACTTCAAAAAACCCATCGCCTTCACTATTTTATCCATATTCAATTTTCATCTCTCACTTTTCAACATCATCATTAGCACCTTATCACTCTCATTCTCATTCACATTTCGACTCGAAAAATGTTAGGGTTTCAGTGTGGTGGGATTTTGAGAATTGTAACGTACCAATTGGGGTTAATGTTTTTGGAGTGGCTCAAACTATTACAGCAGCTGTTAGGTCTAATGGGATTAAAGGGCCTGTTCAAATTACAGCTTTTGGTGATGTTTTGCAACTTTCAAGGGCTAATCAGGAAGCACTTTCTTCCACTGGGATCAACTTGGCTCACATTCCTAATGGTTTTTTTTTTTGTTTTTTTCCATTGTTCCCTTTTCTTATTAAAAAAAAGCTATACCTGTTTGTGTTTGATGAAATGTCTGTATGTCATGAATTAAAAGGAAAAAAATTGATTTGTATTATATTGCTGAATGTGTTAATGGGACATGATTTTATGAATTTCAGCATGTACTGAGAAAGAAAAATGCTAAATGTTGTGTTGTGGCTGAAAAGCTAGTACCTTTGGCGTTTAGGAAATTGCTGGTTCATTAGAATTGTTTGAGTGGCTGAGAGTGTAGGATTGTTTGATCTTCAAAGAAAATACCTTAATGTCTTAAAATTTACTCTAGTTTCCGAATGGCTCACTCACTTCTGCGAAATTTCTGGTCATGCAGGCGGAAAGAACAGTGCTGACAGGTCTCTTCTCGTTGATCTTATGTGTTGGGTTTCCCAAAATCCACCACCTGCCCATCTTTTTCTGATTTCTGGTGATAGGGATTTTGCAAATGTTCTACACCGGTTGAGGATGAACAACTACAACATATTGCTTGCAACTAAAAACACTGCCCCTAGTGTTCTCTGTAGTGCTGCAAGCATCATGTGGCATTGGAATTCTTTGGTCAAAGGGGAAATCCTATCTGGAAAGCATTTTAACCAACCCCCTGATGGTCCCTATGCCTCTTGGTATGGCCATTATAAGGGGCCTCTGGAAGACCCCTTTGCAGTTGTTGAGCGACCAACATGTTCGAAGGTAGAGGACACACCTGAGGCTAGTTCAGAGTTTGCAGTTCGTCCAATTCCTAAAGCAGTTGTGAAGCAGCTATGTCACATTTTGAATTCATGTCCTAAAGGAATGCCAATTACTGACCTGCGAAGGGAGTTGGCGAAAAGTAATGTGTCTGTTGATAATGACTTTTATGGGTATAAAAAGTTCTCCCGCTTTCTTTTATCTATGCCACAGATATTGAAGCTCAAGAACGACAGTAGTGGTCGGTTTGTTGTACACTGTGTTGCTGCAAAAGCTCCTGAACCATTTGAGTCTAGTCCATGCAACTCTCCAGCTAGTGCTATTAACAATGGAAGTCAACACATTACCGGGTCTTCAAAGTCAAATGGTGAGGACATTTCTGTTTCTGGATCTGTGGATGGGAATTTATCATTGCCTTCATCTCCTAAACTGAATTTAATGGCGTCTCCAACAAGAGTGCAACAACCCTCTCCTCCTACTGAGAAGTCTGTCAAATCGCATATACAACAACCTCCAAAACAAATGGAACATATGGAACAGCTCCAGCCTCCAAAACAAATGGAACAGCCCCCTGAAGTTGCTGAGAAGGCAGAAATGGTTAATGCAAAGGTAATTGAGGATCATCCGCCTGCTGTGAAAGAACAAGTTTCTGCATCTGAAGTGGGCTTTTTAGGAAATTCTGGAGAAGATTGTTTGGTGGCAAGGATGATGATTCAGAGTTGAAAAGCAAGAATGTTCTTGTGGAATCTTCTGGAGATAAGTTGGTGAAGAAAAATGAGAACACTTTGGAAGAATGCGATCCTCAAAAGAAAGTTGAGAAAAAAGCATTGAATCTCCTACTCAGGGTGATGATCCAGTGCATCCCACTGTGGAACCAACTTTGGAGAATAAAATCGCTGTAAGTTCTGAACCACTTGGTGAAATGTTGATAAAAAGTCCAGGTTTATTTAACCGGATCTTGAATTGGTGGAAATTGCGGGGAGATAGTCCAGATACATCAAATGATCAACCCACTGTAATAAGTGGGCTGATAAAAAGTGATGCAGGAAAACCTGAGATTTTTTCTGAGGATTATTTTTGGAGAAAAATGGAATCTTATATTTACTCGACTAGGGGCTCACTCATTGTCTCACAATCCAGGACCAGGTTTATGAATTTCATTTGCTTTATTGTTTTATTTTTACACTTCTTTTCTTATCCAGTGGTTCAAATTCTTTCTGTACCAAAGTGAGGAGGTTAAAATATAAAACTATAAACTGTGATAATGAATATAACAAGAGTTTTGCCTACCCATACAGTGAGAACCTGAGAGGATCAGGAATAGTATATAACACTCCTTTTATCCCCTTTCTTCTAAAAAATAAAAAACTATTTTGGCAAAACAATTGTGGTTGTTGCTTGTTATTGTGAGTTTTTTATTCAACCAACAAAACTTTCCTTCTTTTTAAGATTCAGAAAGCTTGCTAGGTTATTTCTTGAAATGCCTGAACTTTTTACAGATGATGAAATCCTTAAACAGGCTAGTATTTCCTTTTCCATGTTCTAGAAAGGGTTGATTTTTAGAGGTTGATAAAGATTTTTTAATGTGAATATGTGATGCAAAATTACGCCTTTTGATCTGATGCTTTTGCACCTCAGCAAAAAATTTATTTTGCAAGCATTTCAGTATCATGCGATTCCTTTAGCTTGCTGGTGTTAGTGGGTTGCTAAGGTCTCATCTATGTGGCTAATATGCCATGTTGGAGCCACGCAAGAGATGCATCAATACCGCATTAGCCATTTCAGTACCACATGTTTTAAAACGTTCTGCATTGAGTTCGAAAGCCTCAAACAACGTGGCACAAACTTTTGTTTGCTTAATTTTTTCATTTATATTACATATTAGCAAGTTCAAACTGATGTATCAAACCTAAATAATGAGAAATATTTTCTTCATTGACTATTCACTTTTGTAATTATTATTAGAAATGTATCTGTTCTTTTTGTAACTATAAGTTTTAATTTTAAGATGAAGATTTGAGTTAGCTCTTTTTAGTTTGTTGCATATTTTATTTTAGAAAAGTTAGTCATACTTTGATTATAGTCCAAACTCTAAGGATATTGGAGCAACAAGTGCAAAAAATCCATAACACATGATGTCATTCTGCATTTTCCCTGTGCTTCATCATTTTTTCCTTTCATCTGGCAACTTCAATTTTTGATTTTTGAACTCTCATGAGCTCGTTACAGTAGTAAGTTAATATCCATTTTGATATCTAGAAAATGTAGAAAAGAAAAACTGCAGTTGCAGCCAGTATCAGATGTTAATACTCCTGCTATCTGTGATTTGTCAGGGAACAAATAGCACGAAATCTGCAAAAGGAATGTCCTTTGGTTCTTAGATCTCTCAAAGAAAGCGATGTCCTTCAACTGGTGGATATGATAATATCAGAGAAGAAATGGGTGGAAGAATTTCCATCTGAAGCTTTCCCTTTCAAGCTCTCTTGGTTTGCTGCACAGAGTACTGTGGCTGATTCTCATGCTTCAAATGGACTGAGTTCTATGTTTTTGAGCACCCCATCACAGTCTGATTTGCAGAGACAACCAGGAAATGAAGGAGATAAAAAGATTCAGAACATTTCTCACACTGGAGTGTCTTCGCCTGTCTCTGTTGAAAAGCCTTCTGAAAGGTCTAGAAGTGAGATATTGGGTGACTGTCAAAAGCTTACGAAAGAGATATTAAAGGAATTTCCAGGTGGATATAATATTGGTGCCTTTAGAAAGCTGTTCCTTGAGAGGTATGGCTATAATCTCAATGCCAAAAAGCTTGGTTACCCAAAGCTGGCATCCTTGCTTCAGATAATGCCTGGGGTGAAAGTAGAGTCCAATTATATTATTCCTAGCAATGAAATGGCTAAACATTCAAGCGCAGGCAGAGCTGTTCTTAATAATACCAGTTCAGACAGTGAATTATCTGATGCATCTAAGAAGGATGATGAACTGGACTCTACGTGGGAAGAACTTGGTCCTATTGATAACACGTTTTCTGGCAAAAAGGGAATGGTATCAGCATTAAGGACAAAAAGAACAGGTGAAAGAATGAGGCAACGATGTCCTGATTATGAATCTCCTCTCTCAGATGATGAACTTTCAGATTCAGAAGAATCTGGGGTGGTAACTCGACCTGGCAGGCAACCAAAGCTTGGATTAAATGATGAGAATAGCTCACTACTGCAAATGCTTGATTCATGGTACAGCAGCAAAGAATCTGATGATAAGAAAAACCCAGAAAATCCAGAAAACGTGCTTGATTCTTTGACAGCTAACTTTGGGTTATCTGATTCATCCAGACTAGGTATGAAGAGTGAAACTTCTCTGGAAAAAAATTGTCGCAAGCAAAGACCTCAAAAGAGCTATTCTTTTGTTGCAGATCCTGTAGAGAATAAAACAGAGATCCTAGTTGATGACATATTACATAGCTTGAAGAAACCAAATGAACCTAGGGTGGATGCTTGATAGGTCTCAAGGAGTAAATGCAACGAGGGTCTTCCTGTGAAGCGCTAGCAAAGGTGAGGTTCACTTTTTAGAATTAATCATCACATTTTCTAGACACTTTCTGGGGTTATTTATGCTTCAGCTCAATTTTTCAGTAAGTGCTATTTTGCATAATTGATGCCATGGAAAGGTTCAATATACTTTTGTACTTTCAATTACTTACGGTCATGGGAAATACGTAAAGTTGGGAAAATAATTTGTTTGAATCACTTTTAAATTATATGTCTATTTTATGTTCCTCGATACACAGATATAATCTACATGCAAGGAGCCTTGGGGCTTTCTCCTATCGATGCTGCATATATGGTTTTCTTCCGGATTGAGAATTGATATGGCTATATTAATATACTTATGCTTTATAGACTTCCTTTTTTGTTAAGGAGGAACTATTTCCAGCTACATTTATGAGATAAATCTCGGATCCAAGTCTATACTTGTGGCCCTTTAGTTTCGTTTCACTTTTATATTTGCGTTCCTTATTTTCTTTCCAGGTTGATTAGCAGGCTGTGACATATGATTTTCTTCCACCTAACTATCTGTTAATTGTTAGTAAATATTCTTGTTTCTCCCTGTGCTTTGATCAACTGGCTTGGTTTCTCCATTTCAATTCCCTCATGAGTGTCTATCACAACATTCATCCACGAAATGACGAAGATTATATTTGAACATGTTTGAACTTGCTTGCCAGACCAGTAAAGTTGATTTTTTTAACATGCCTCCTGGGTCAGATTACCTTCTTAATAGATCATCTCTGTCATAACACAAAAATTCAAGTTTTTTTTTTTTTTTTTGTGGCATTGTATTTGAAACGATCATCGAGCTCTTTTGTCGGGAGATACGTTGTTTTAAACATCGGATCCACTTTTTGAGTCTCGACACAATCGGTGTGGTGGAGAACATTTTAATTATTGAATGATGATTTTTGGTAACAACAGTCCTTATCAGTTATCCATTTCTATAAATAAAAATCATAAAATCTAAAATTTTAGAATTAGCTTTTATTTTTTGAGTCTCGTCCAACGTTGGGTAACGACAATTTCTATGCCAAATGTAAACCTTGTGTGGAATTAACGTGGCAAAGTATGTTTACAGATGATGAAACCAGCAGTAAAGACGCAAAGACAGCAATATAGTGTGCTTTCTATGGCATGTTCCTGTTGTTGGGTATGATTTTGCAATCAATCAGCATCAATGGGCTGTAATGATGAACTATTCTTTGAAAAAAATATAAATTGGATTGTGCATTGAACGTGTAAATGTGTAGTCAACATATCTATCCTAAGAATGCAAAACCAAATGTCACTCTCATCAAACCTTATCCAAAAGACTCAATTCTAATTTTCTTCTATAATTTCTTAGGTTATTTAAAACCGGCTAAATGGATCATTTTTTTTTTTTTTAATCTTTAATCTATTTGAAAATCAATTCCTAATATTTATTTAATATTTTAGTTTTTTGTACAAAAAAATAATAATAATGGTTACATAAATATTTTTACGATAAAATTATTCAATGACATTTGTTTAGAGTTTTTTTAAAAAAATTGAAATCATTTTTTATCTTATAAAATTCAAGGATTTTTTTTAAAAAATATATTGAATGTTTTTCAACTTGTGTGCAAATGGGGGTTTTAGCTGAAATTACACTAAATCTTTAAAAAAAAAAAAACAAAACAAAACAAAACAAAAATTTAGAAGAGATAAATTCCAAAATCAAAAGTTCATCGATTGATTTCAAATGAATTAAAAGTTTATAAAAGGTTTTAAGATTTCGCCTTTAATGCCTTTTGTGTCAAGATGTTATGGGCAAAGCTATTTTTTGTTGAATGTGAAGAAGAAACATTGCCATGTGAGCTGCCTGTACACAACAGTTGAATTTGGTAGTCGTGAACAGAAAAGAGAAAATTATCCATCAATCCCTCAGTTCTGGATGTTATTATAATTTAATACTTCATGTTGGAAAAAATGATAAATTAGTCCCTTGACTCTCACTAACCTTTTTTTTTCTCGAAAAACTATGTCAGTTCTGTTAAATTTCAACTTTTTCCCTTTGACAATTTAAGTTTCTGGAGAAAAAACAACACTTTTTATTTTAAGAAGACAATAGTCAACAGAGTCAAAGGATTAAGTTATAAATTTTCAAACATGAAGGATCAAATTATAATCACATCCAAAATCCAGGGATTAAAGAATAATTTACGAAAAAAGAAAACAGAAAATCTTACTTCGACCCCACCGACCATTCAGTGAAAAATAATCTTGTTTTTGAGCCATATTCCTCATTTTAGGCATATGATTGGTTGATTTATGGATTTGCAAGATTTTCATGAATTTGAAGTCTTTTTTTTTTTTAATCCCTGATGAGTATAAAGTCTCAATTTTCAGTCCCTTCTTTATCGATCATTAATTTATTTGAGAAAAACAATGACATTTTATATTACTGAGTTTTTGAATTTATATTATTGTTGAAAAGAAAACTTTTCATGGCTTTTTTTTTTAATTATGCGAATAATTCTTGCATCCAATAATAATGGAGGTGTAACTTTCAAAGATGGATAGCCTAATTGGCAGCCATCCTCTTTTTCTTTTTCTTTCTTTTCTGAGAATTGCAACAAATCCCTTTTGAAAAAAAGATTTTTAAAAGTTCAAATTACTCTCCTTTCTTTCTTTTCTTCCTTCACAATCCACATTGCATCTTTTTTCAAGTAGCTTAAAATTCAATGTCTCTCAATGATCATAGCTAAATTGAAAAAAGCAATTTGAACAATTTAGTCTTTGGCCAACTTGCAGCCTGATATTTCAGGCTTGCTGACTTTACTTTGTGGTAAGGAAACACCAACGCAAAAACCTCAACTTTTTTGCTAGAAAACAACTAAAAAGGACAAAAAAAAAAAAAAATTCATGGAAAAGATTTTTCAAAAAAGCATTGAAACCCACCAAATGGAAAAGCTATGCCTCTATGGACAGCAGCCTGTTAAGGCAATTTGACTTGCAATTCTCACTGCAAGCCCTTCCTGCATTCTTTTTTAAGAAACCTAATAATAATAAGATAATGATGGTGGCAAACCAGCTTCCACCACCTTTCCTCCCATCAACAACCTAATCCCCCACCACCATATTGGACCTACCATGTTCCTCAACCCTTAATTATCATTATCTTAACTAAGCATGTGGTGTCAATGTATCATCTAGAAGAAATAAATAGTCTAGAAACCCTAGAAAAATGATGAAAGATTCCAGACAAACCCTAGAAAAACTCCATGTATGCTAAAAAAGAATGCCCAACTAGACCAACTAGTGTCATCACTCACATGGATTCTGTCAATGAGAACCTAAACAAAAGTACTCTCTATTTTCCTATGAGGTTATTCAAGGGTTGTTTCTGTGATGGGCAAATTAAAGAAAACTGCTTTGCTTTTGTTTTCAAATGAGAACCTCAAAAATCATTTATCTGATGAGCTATTTTATAAGAAAATTAGAGAAAAAAGTTTTTCCCCCTTAAAGAAACAATATAAAAGGATAAAATGGACTCAGGCTTTCCTGTGTCCCCCCACAAGTCCTTTGTGTTTTAGGTATGGAGGTCATTGTGTGATCTCTTTGCCAAAATCACCAGTGCCTCCCTTGATGAGAACCACCAGCACCTCTGTTCTTTGCAAAGAAGGTGTTCTTATTCTTGGGTTTTGGTATCTCGTGAATGTCCATCACTTGAATCGTTCTTTGTTTTTTGGCTTCACAAAGCAAAGCAGCATGACACCAATTACCAATCAGTATCATCGTGCAATGTGAATTCAGGCAACCAAATTCACACAAGAAATAAAGAACAGAAATCACACCATTTTCGGCTTCTTTGTAATTTGCTTGAAGCCTTTTCCTTGCCGAGGCAAGCCTTTGATCAGCATCAAACTTGCTTTCTTTCGGTTGTTCTCTTTGTCTCTGCAAAACCATAGTTATCGAGTCCTTGAAAAATTCAGTGAACTGGAGTAAAATATAATACCAATGACTATGTAATTTTTGGAACAAGTAACCTATATAAATTTACTATTAGGGGTGCTCTTGTTATGCTTCTTTTATGCAACCATAACCGCATAAGCTTCAAAGGTTTCTATCAAGTCTACATTTATCAGCAAAAGACTCATTTGGCACAGTTGATACCTGTACATTGTGAAGAGCAGATAAAGAGGCAGGAACTGATTTTTGCGTAGGTTTGGTCGGAGCTTCAATTCGAGGAGGAGCTGGTTTTGGTTTTCTTTCTGGTTCGGAATTATTCCTATCTGATCCAGAACTCCCATCTACGTAAGACATTAGCAAAAGGAAGGGAAACAAACAACAGATTGATCAAATGCAAAAAGAGAATGAAATATAAACCAAATCCAACTTTGAATCTGATTCTTCACTCACTGTGAGGATTGGGAGAGTATGCAAAATCAGGAACCTAACAAAAAGAACAGAATCTTAGAAAGCAAACAAAAGACAGAATTTTTGACATTTTCAACAACTTTTCAATGGCAAGGAAAGATTGTCTTTCACCTGGGGATGACCATTCTGGGGAATCTTCTGCTGAGGTGAGTCCCCGTCAGCTGCAGAAACATGCTCGTTAACTTCAATTTGCAACTCATTAATCCCTTCAATGTTATTCTCAATTCCACTTTATAACAATTTTCCCAGAAAAACAAAATTGAGAACGAAGTAGTGGATAATGATGATGATGATAAATGTTACCCATTAAACCAGAGGATGCATGCTCTCCTTGTGGATTAAACCTCACCCATTCATCTACAATTTCTTTCCATTTTCTGGGCACAATCACCAAGTCAACAAAAAGAAAAACATATTAACTGCTACTTCATTCAAGTAGATAATAAAAGGAACTGCTAGAAACTCATTTTCTACAACTTTGTATCTTCAATACCTGACAAGTTGCTTCACTAATCTCTTGACATCATTAGATGGATGCTTTCTCAATCGATTCACATGCCTTCCAATATCAGTCTCCTAAACATCATCAAAAGGTCACAAGAAAATTAATAAAAATTCACCAACAAGAACAAATGCAACAGCAATAGAACGTCAAGAATTGTTCAAATAATCACCTTAAGTGCCTGAAATGTAATATCCATATCTGCTAAACTTTGAAGCAAATCAACCAGAGAATCTTCAGGCTAAACCACAACCCAAAAGCAAAAAACCAAAGTCAAACCAAAAAAACAAATACCCCGCAATTAAAAAGCAGCAAACAACGAAAAAGAATAAAAACCTGGTCAAGATCTTCAAGCTGTTGCTTGATATCCAAAATCTTCTTCGGCTCATCATCAAACAACCCTCCATATGGATCCAATTCATCATCATCACCATCACCATTATCAGACCTTGGGGTTACAGGAGAATCGGCAGATACTCCTCTCCCTTTCTCTTCTTCATGGCTACTCTCTTTCTCTACAATAACCTTTTCATTCCCATTAGCAGTATTGTTAACATCAATTTCATCAAAACTCATGTCCCTACATCGACTACACGAGCTTGATGCTGCAAACAATCTCTCCACAATATAATCTCTCCTTCTCTTCAATTCAGACCCAAAATCCAAAGAAGCCACAAGAATTGCTGTATCAATAAAGCTCCAAACATCAACACCTGAACCTTCCAATATTGATCTAAAATCATCAATATCCATCCTTTCTTCCTCCCCTGTCGAGATCAAACTCTAATTCTTCAAAATTTAAGAGAAAGTTTTTATCTTTATCTTTATCTTTTATATCCCTATAACCTGCCAAAATATAGACAAATGGGCTTTCTTGTTTCTAGTAACAGAAAAAAACTGAACGCAGCACCAACAGATCTAGACAAGATTATAATACAAAACAGAAAATTTGGACAAGACAACAACAAAAGTCTTTGTTTTAAACAGAACCCATTTTAGATCTAAACCTCCAAACTTGTAACAAAAAGTTTCACAAGCTTTCAAACAATAAAAGCTTGTCTTTTTAATATCAATGGAGGTGAGAGAAAGAACTTTAGAGGGAAGTGTTAGAGAGAAAGAAAGTTGAATTGAGTTCGAAAAGAAACTTCTTTGATTGTATATTTGTATTGTTGTTTTTGGCTTGTGAGTGAATTTTCTTCTCTTTTCCTTTGTGTTTTCGGACACTTGAGACAAATTATGGTATATCCTTTCTTTAAAATAAAGATGGTTTATTTTATTTTATTTCTATCCTTTTGATTTTGGGTTTTGTGACCTATGCCTTACTATGGTTTGGTCTCTCCCTCTTCAAAAAGAGCCAACTTTGGTTTCTTGTGGAATAGGAGATGGGTTTACAAGAAGGAGAGAGACAGAAGAGAGGAAGAGAATTGTTTTTCTTTCTTTTTTTCTTTCAATAACTATGAGGACTGTTTTTACGTTTATTTCAGGGGGGCGTTGAGGTGTAATTGGTGGAATTTTATGAGCTAGGAAGGATGAAGGATTTTGTACTGTTTTGTCCAATGAAGCAATGTTTCTGTTCTGTTAACACCAAACTAGGATGGATGATGCCATGGTGATTGTGTCTATGTCCTGATTATTAAAAGGTTGCCCTTTCTTGGACCAAACCAGCCTAACCCTAGAGATCTCCATTTCCTCCTCTGATTATATGATTTTGATGATATGATTTTGTGAGGTATTAGGTAACTGGTTTGTATACTATATCAAGTTGATTTTCGATTCTACACGATCTTAAATAAATATTTTATATCTAATATAATTCGAGATATAAATCATAAAACAATATACAATTTATTAAAAAAAAAAAACTCGAAATAATAATATGCAAAATAGATTTATTTATCAATTAAATTAGTTGGATTGCACGGTACACTAATATCAAGTTTGATTTTCGATTCTGTACGATTTCAGTCAAATCTTCTATATATAATATAAATCAAGATATAAATCATAAAACAATATGTAATTTATATTAAAAAAAACTCAAAATAATAATATGTAAAATAGATTTATTTATCAATTAAATTACTTGGATTGTTCGATTTAATAATCGATTTATTAATTGAATGGGCACAAGAGATCAACCAAAAAAAAAAAAAAACCAAACAAAACATGGTTACCATGTATGGATAGATATTATGTATCTAAACAAAACTCTATTCTTTAATGATGCCATGATCACATGGGATTAACATGTCATTTGTGTCATTAAAAATAAACAAGTGGTACTTCATTCAATATGTCTATATCTAATATGCAAAATAGATTTATTTATCAATTAAATTAGTTGGATTGCACGGTACCCTAATATCAAGTTTGATTTTCAATTCTATATGATTTCAGTTAAATCTTCTATATCTAATATAAATCAAGATATAAATCATAAAAAAATATGTAATTTATATAAATAAATAAAAACTTGAAATAATAATATGCAAAATAGATTTATTTATCAATTAAATTAGTTGGATTGTTCGATTTAATAATCGATTTAGTAATTGAATGGGCACAAGTGATCGACCAAAAAAAAAAAAAAACCAAACAAAACATGGTTACCGTGTATGGATTGATGTTATGTATCTAAACAAAACTCTATTCTTTGAATGGATAGATGTTATTTATCGGTTAAATTATTTAGATTGTACAGCTTAAATAATCGATTTAGTGATTGAATGGGCACAAGTGATCGACCAAAAAAATTAAAAAACAAAACAAAACAAAACACGATTATCATGTATGGATAGATGTTATGTATCTAAATAAAACTCTATTCTTTGATGATGCCATGATCACATGGGATTAGCATGTCATTTGTGTCATTAAAAATAAACAAGTGGTACTTCATTCAATATGTTTATATTCATGCAAGTATATATATATATATATCACAAGAATAAACAAAAGGTGCATGATATGAATTAATCCATTGATTAATTATAATTAATTTTCAAGATTTGCAATTATTGAAAATGGAGATATTCTTCTCTTTAAATTTGCATGATATATATATATATATATATATACATATGCAAGAAAATCCTTAAAGGTTTTTAATTGCTTAAACTATTGACAAAGTTTTCAAATTTCAACACACTTGCAAGGCATCAATCATTCATTCATTCATTTAGCTCAACGAGCCTTGTAATTTTCTATACAAAAATTGCTCTCCACGTACATAGCCGAAACTTTTGATTGGCCTTATAAGGTCAAATCTCTTGGGCATGAAGCATGATCCTTTGTCGATTTCTCCTCTATCTTTAGACAAAAAAAATGTAAACAAGTTCTTGGGTCTTCGTCTTGTTAAAACATGTTGGTCATCATCTTTCTTTAACGTTGGATCGGTAGATCAACAATTGGGAGAAACGGTAAGAAGTGGAGTGCTATTTTGTTACATTTGGTAACTTACATAGATTATGACGGTTTTGGCTATCAAAGAACCTACATATTTGTAATTTTAATAATTTTTTATAGAGTAAATAGCTCAATTTATTGTTATTTAATAATTTGAATCTTCAATTTATATTTATGTTTTTAATTACATCTATTATGTCTTTAAATAATATTTAAGTTTTTAATTTTTTTTCGATCAATATTTTTTTTGATCAAAATATCTATGATTAAAATGCAAAAAAAAATAAAAAAATCTAAAGACAAAAAATGGAATATGTAGATATTTGACTTTAAGTGTTTTTTCTTTTTTTATCAATACCATTTCCTCAAAAAAAAAAAATTGATTGAAAAAAATAAATTGAAGACTAAGAAAATATTTAGAGACATGATAAATGCAATTAAAAAAAATTAAGAACAGATTAGAGACTCAATCTATTATATAAAGACAATTAACCTATTTATCCATTTTAATATTCACACTAATTGGATTTATTTATTCATTACCTGTTTGAATCTAAAAGGTAATTTTTAAACAATTTTCTTTTTTATAAACAATCCAATACAGATTATGTTACTCTGTTCAATACCTTCCTCAAACGAAACTTAATCCTTGTATATGAAACCTAGAATATCTTGATTATTAAAAGGATTTTTTATAAAAATAAAAAAAAATTTACATCCTCAACAATTATTCATTTCGTATAACCTTCGTTTTTTTTTTTTCCCCATTTTACAATGTAACAATTTGCATTCTCAACTACTCCTAACTCCTAAAAAAACACACACGTACAAAGGAATCCAAGGGAAAAAGAATAAGAACACACACATATATAATCTTAACAGTAAATTAAGATATGTTCAAACGAGTTTTCATGCATTAAAACTAAGAAAATATCAATTAAAAAAAACATTGTGTCATTTCTAATTATTTTCTTTTCTCACGTTCAAGATACACCACTTGAAAGAATATCCAAGGGGTAGGTTGCCAATTAAATCTAAAATCCGATTAATTCTTCTTTGAGCTACCATAATCAAAGCCGACCTAAAATGTTTGGAGTGGTCAAAGCATACATGCTTAGAATTGGAAGTTACTGTACTGATATACTGCTTCAAATTAAGAAATTCTTAGTCATTCTTTTTTTTTTTTTTTTTTGATAACGTGGGTGTCCCGGTCGGCTTACGCGCGCTTCGATTAATCTCGCGAGCCCCGAAGTTAACAACCATGTAAGCCTCCGAGTGGCCACCAAGAGGAGCAATCGGGACTCGAACCCGAGACCATAAAGAGGAGCAAACCTCTTGATACCAAGTCCTTGCCGTTATGCCATCCTGGTGGTTAATTCTTAGTCATTCTTAAGAATGCTAGAAACAACACCCATAGACAACAAATATTAGCATGTGGTGCAATATGGAAAAGGAAGAAAAGGCAAAGGAATATGAAACAGTCTTATAGATTAGACTAAACAGTTTTTTTTAGCATTAAATCATCTTATATTATTAACGAACATTCGAATCCTATTCGTGGATAGAAATGACCGTACATGATGTATGAGGTTTATTGAGAATGAATCAAATGATTGATCGGCAAATCGGATTAATCAACATACAAAGAGTTAGTATTATAATTTACAAAAGTAAGGATCAATTAATCAAATAAAATGCAAACAATGAGAGACATAAAAAGAGAATCATGCAGTACTAATAAGACGCAAGTCAAGTAGTTGACAAACTGATGAAGTCAAAGTTTAGATGAATAAAATTTTAGATGTGATATGTATAAGAAGATCTTTCTTTAACAAATCTCACTTTTTACTCATCAAATAAATTTTTCTAATGCATTCTAAATACAAGATATGAATATTAGCTAGCTCCGCTAAAATTTTTATATCCATATATGTGCGACTCAAAGTTTTATACCGAACAAATCCTATCTTTAATCCTATACATTTGTTGTGTAGCTTGAATATTTATATATATATATATATATATGTTGAAATTGAGCACACACGCATGTTACAAATCATACAATATCAAGGGATTCCTTTGCCTTTGTATTTTGTATTTTTTATTCTTTTTTTAATTTTTTTTGTTTTTGTAGTAAATTATAAAATAAGGTAAAATGATACAAAATAAAATAAAATAAAATAAATAATAAAATATGGAAAAATTTTAGGTTATGACAAGAAATATCATTGCTTAGCTCAAACAAGCATACAATTGCGAAAATTGAAGTCAAATTCAAAACGATATGGTAAATCTTTTCTTCTTCTATTAAGAACCTTTCAACTTCAAAAATATATAGTATTATTATTTTGCTTTGAATAGAATTATGCATCTCACAGTTCATGGTTAACCAAGTGTCCCTCGAAGGCAGCCGCCGCCAGCACTGCGTTACCCTTTAACGTTCTTAATTAATTTCTTGCCAGATACGGTATCGATCCAGGTGGATCAAAGTGGAACTTGAAGTCCAAGCACATGGGGTTATAAATTACAGCAAGATGAAGTCAAGTACACTATAGAAGGCAACATATATACATGCACAAAAAGAGATCGAGAAAGATGGAAAAGATGGAGGATGTGGTGATAGCTGGAGCAGGAATTGCAGGGTTGGCAACAGCAGTGGCTTTGAAAAGATTTGGGGTTCAAGCTTTGGTATTAGAGAGATCGCAGGAGCTGAGAGCTACTGGTGCAGCGTTGACTCTGTTTCCAAATGCTTGGCTTGCCCTTGATGCTCTTGGTGTTTCTCACAAGCTCACCGCCATTAATTCTCCTTTAGTCAAGTAATAAATTGTTAATTTCTGCATAATGATTCTATTCTTTTGTTTATTTTTTCGGATTTTGGATATTATGTCCTGGAGGATTAATTAATTTCTTGTGTACCTTTCTTTTTCCTCGTAATTTAGGGGATGTGTCACCAATGTTAGTACTGGAGATGTTCAACAACTCCTCTTCCCTGTGACCAACAAAGGGTAATTAACTTTCTGAAATTTAGTAAAATGGATGAACAAGTTTTTGTCGAAAAAAACCCTGAAGAGATTGTTTTGTGTGTGAATCAATGCCTTATTTTGTGTGAAATAGGAGCAGTGAACAAGGAATTAGGACAATTCACCGTAAAGCATTGTTAGAGGCTCTGGCAGAAGAGTTGCCAACTGACTCAATTCGATTTTCTTCCAAGGTTGCTGCAATTGAAAATCAAGAAAATGGAGGTGGTGCTGCCATTGTTGTTGTAAGTTTGGAAGACGGAACAACGATCAAATCTAAGGTTCTTATAGGCTGTGACGGGGTGCACTCGGTAGTGGCACGTTGGCTAGGACTGTCCGAACCAGTCCATTCGGGCCGATCAGGGGTTCGAGGTTTAGCAGTTTTTCCTGAAGGCCATGGATATAAGCAAGAAGTTCAGCAGTTTGTGGATGAGGGAAAAAGGGCTGGTTTTATGCCTCTAAATGATAAGGAACTCTACTGGTTTTTAGTCTGCAATGGTCAGCACTCTTAACCCTCTTTTCTTTCTCATTTCTGCAAACACAAATGTTCGTTCATGTCAGATCATTGATGGGAAATTTATTAACTTCATTTTCATTTCAGGGGAGAATATGACAGTAGAGCCTGAACAAATACAAAGAGAAGTACTTGACAAGCATGCAGAAAAATTCCCGTCGGCATTTCTTGACGTAGTCCAGCACACCGATCTTTCGACATTAACATGGGCACCGTTGATGCTCAGGCCTCCATGGGGTATCGTATTTGGAAATCTTAACAAGGGAAACATCACAGTAGCTGGTGATGCTATGCACCCCATGACTCCTGACCTAGGACAAGGCGGTGGTTCATCGCTAGAAGATGCTGTTGTATTGGGCAGGCACATTGGCATTTCGGTCATAGAAAATGGAGGGCTGATCGTTCCAAGAGATGTTGCAAAAGCCATAGATGATTATGTCAAGGAACGGCGGTGGCGTGCCATTTGGCTGGTCACAGGGTCATTTTTATCTGGGTGGATACAGCAAGGAGGAGCGAGGTGGTGGATGAAATTTTTGAGGGATAGAGTATATTATAAGTATGCTTCTGGTGGGATTGCTAGACTTGTGCGTTATGATTGTGGAAAACTTCCTGCTACTTCATCTGGTGAAATAAATTGCTCCAGTAAGGAGGACTAAATTTCCATTTCGGTAGTTCTGGCTAGTGATTTTGCAGAATATGAATAGTTTCATACAATGTACCTTCTTGCTTGCAAGATAATTAGTCTCTTGCTGCTTTTTCTTTTTCCATTTGTTGGTTCAGTTGCGAATAAAAACTCATGTTCTATGAAACACAGATCTCCTCTTGTTTTTGATCTTGTAATCGAAAATTAAACAAAACAAAATCCCACCAAGGTTATCCCTCTTGAGTCTCGACAACTTTTCCCATTTTGGAGGGACTCAAATTATAGCTGCTATGGAACATCTTACAATTTTTGATGGTTAAGTGGCTCAAAGAAATATAACATCATAGCACAACAATTGTATGGGAATTGCATATTTCATAAGAGCAAAACAAAATGAAATGCCCAGTTCCTGAACTTTTCAACCTAGGAGCATCAAATCCCATTTCAGCATATAACTTAAAATTTCAATACAAAACATATCGACCTGAGTGAATACAAAAAATAAACAGTAAAAATCTGTCAAAACATGTTTTTCATCAGTCCCAGTACTGAAAAGGGGATCCCTCCAACTCTCAATCCCAGCATCCTTTTCTTTCCCTAGACTGCTAACTCAACTTCGTGTTCCTTATTGTTTCGAAGGAGCAAATACCTCGCCGGCACCCCCAAAGAATGATAAGCTCTCATTATTTTTAAAATAATGTGGGGTTCCATCCTTTGTTGCTTAAAACAATGGAAAGAAAGGGAAAAAATGGAATGGAGCGGAAGGATAAACTAAGGTATAAAGATCTCACACTCAAGGGAATTTCTCCACACTGAAAACCTATAGCAGAACTGTCAAGACTGCACAGCTAACCTCTGAAGATGCTCAAAGAAAACTTGAAGGCTCACATCATCCGTGAATATTACATCTGACCCAGCAGCCATCTCATTGGCATTATTGTATGTAGCTGATGGGTTCAACTTTGCCAATAAGAACCTTGCCTGCCCAGTGTGACATGAGAGAAAGGAATGGAGTAAGTTTCTATGAAATAGCAAACCTTTCAGTGCACAAGTCCACCAGTCAATTCAAGGCATCCAATATGAAGTTAATACAAGACCATATGAAGGTATTTTATCGTTTTTGGACAATAGGTTGATTTTTTAAGAAAAAAGAGGGAAAGAGCAAGGAAAAACTAACCTGGGATCCATGCTGGTCACATACCACCAATCTAGGAACAGGGAAACGATCATGAATGATCATTTGGGCATCTTCTTTGGGTGCTTGCAATAGCTGTGCAAATGCCTGCAGAGAGAGAGGAAGTTTTATAGTTAAAAGAGGTAACCAAAATGTCCGATATGCAGCTTACATGCCGTTGTAAAATAAATAGACTTAGGGTTCTAAATCCATCTCAAATTTAGACCCCCTCGAAGTCAACACAAAGCAATGAAGCATGCATACCTGGTGCTCTGGCTGATTCTGGTAACCCAAGTTACGCCACTGAGCTATTGTCATTCCATGAAATATGACAACACTGAAGTATGAATCCAGTAAGAGAATACGATCAGCTCCAATAGAAGCGACATCCAATAATGCAGGTTGAGGCAGTGAGTTAAATGAATATGATATTAGCGATGGTTGAATCATAACAGCAGCATTGGTAACATTTTCACGGTTTAACAACATGCGGAAATAAGCCGTCTCGTCCGGGCTGTTATTGAAAACCTGATGCAACCAAATAAAGGAACAGATAATAACACTTAACATGCATACACATGAAAATACTTCAATTAAGCGTAAAATAAAAAAGAGAATAGAAATAGCAGATGAACTTAAATGTCAATTAGTTACCTGTACAAATTGCGATCTTCGCAGATTAAACATAAACTGAGGGAAGAAAGAGAAAAACGAGTTCAATGTAAAGGATGTTGGATCATCCTTCCGATATTCACCGAATCTGGAACAGAGGCGAATGAGATTTCTGTCTAACCACCTAGTGGCATCAAACCCCTCCTGTGAGAGAAACCCCAGAGGGAGACAGTTAGGCAATATACAGAAGCTACATACAAAATATTGCAATGGAATCAACAAATGAATGCTGCTTTTACAAAGCAGGACACAATTAGCACCACAAAAACTGTAAATAAAGTATGATCACAAAGATGGCACTACAAGAAAACATCTGCCGAAACGAAGGCATATAAATCTTGAAACAAGTACTAATCCTTGGAAAAAATTTCAAATACAAAACAAGTTACCTCCTTGTACTTATTTTAGTCAGACAGGGAACAGTGACAAACCGACAATGCACAGGATCAACAACATTACCATTGCCAATTGGATATTTAAGAAAAAGAGAATTTTGGTAGGAACAGCATATGCAGCAAATGATGTAGTACAGATACTTCAAAAGAAATAAAAACCAAGTAAGAAACGAAGCCAAAGAAAGATATTTTGGAAGTACCTCTGACTCCATTTTCAGGGATGTTAATCTCGCCATTACCACAGCTGCAGCTTCTTGGTCAAAACCTTGTACTAATTCCTGCAAGTGTGAAAAAGTTCTTCCATGTCAATACTAATTCCTCAGTTAATACATTTTCGATAAATGCTCAGAAAGTACCCAAGACCAATGGTGCAAGACTTGCAATCAATAATGAGAATAGGAAGTGAGAAAGAAGCTTAAATTTTAATTTAACAGCAGAAACATAGCCTATCAGAGACCAGACACCATACATCTAAAGATACAGGATCTTGACCCTGGGAAACATTTTAAAAATCCTAAACTCCTCAAAAGACCACAAAGTTGAAGCTTGCATCTGCATTGCCTGGATGCTATAGGGTATATCTAATTAAAGCAGAGAAGCTGACAGAGTGCATATTCTAAACATGACAACTAAATGGTAGTATTTTTATTTTCAGTCAAGCAAACAGGTGGGCACTTCAGCAACTGAACATAACCTCACACAAAAAATATCATGTATCTATGGAACATGACCAACCTCTGAATTAACAGCACTATCTACCCATCTTCTAGTGACGGTTGTAACCCGAAGCAACATAAGACCCTCAGGGTTTTGATAACTGCCATAAAACAAAAATGTCCATCAGAATTACCCCAGATGGATGCTGTCAAAAAAGAAGTGGGTGTGGCATAGAGAATAGAAAAGAAAGAAGACAGGATACTCTCCACCACATACCTTGTAAGAAACTGTAAGTATAACTGTGGATTTGCAGCTCCAGGAGCATTTGACTTTTCACTTGATGAAAGATCAAAGAAGACGGTCAGACAAGTACTCTTGTCAAGGCCACACATCTTCCAAGCTGTCGTATTCCCCTCACCAATGACTGTGTCAGAAACACTTGGTCCTTTCTGCAAGGTTCTACTAATAATTAGTGTCAAATGTAATCTAGCTTTAATTTAATGGACAAAAAAGAACAAAATCATATTTTTCCTGAAAAAGAATGAAATCTAAAAACAAAATAAAGCAATAAATAAATAAATAAATTCAATGGCTGTAGACAGTTCAACCTTCTCCATAGAGGTGCAAGGTCCAATAATCCCCTGTATTTTGATGTCCTTTGAACAGTTAATCTCAAGTGTTCCACTGCAAAGAAATAAGAGAAATCATAACACAGCCTAAACATAGTCCATGAAATGAAAGAGTACATGCAGGTCTCCAGAGAACGCAAAAATGTGTTTTACAATGATGTCTCACTTGAAACAGAGGCCAAGAGAATGTTCTCCATTTTCAAATACACGCTTGAAGGAGTCCTTAAATACCGAATGTCCAAAACTTTCTGAGAGAACAACAAGACCACCAGTTCTTTCTACTGCAACTTTCATTTCTGCAACCCCAACCTAAAAAATGCAACAGTCACAAGTCAAAATGATAAGCAAAGACACGTAGCTTCTTCGTCTGTGTGTGTGCTGGGGAAGGGCGGTTGTTGGTGATTAGATCATTACTGAGATCTTACTGGTCCCGTCTAATGAAATTTTCTTTGTAATTAACCTAAGCACAGATGGATTTCATTGAGAAACCATGGGAATGGCTGAGGAAAAAACAAAGTTTGTAGTTTATAAATTTCCCTGAGAAGCACTCTTTACAGTTGGTAAGCTTTTCTTCCACTGCAGGTTAGTGTACCCACTTTACATTGATGAGGCAAAGAATTGTACATGTCTTTATATATTTAAAGCACAAACAAGAAATACCTGATCTAAAGCAGATGCAAAAAGGTCCAAAACATGACCCTGGCTGACAAGCTGCTTTGCAAGATTATCATAAAATTTGACTGCTTTCTTAAAGTACGGTGCTGCATCCTTATCAAGATCCTTGTGGGAACGTACAGGATCAGACAAATCTTTTGATATAATCTGCAAAGCATCAAAATGATCATCAAGAATTGAAGCAAAAAGTAGCAAAAATAAAACCCACATCTCAATATGCTATTCTCATTTCAATCTAGCCCCATGAGATAAAACAGCATAGAAATGTATTGAGGCCAAATAGGGAGGCTACAAAACCTGAAATGGCATCTGATTTCTGCATTTTATAATGTCATAGGGAACATGGATTGCTCTTCCATGTTGAACAAAATCAATATGCACAATAGCGAGTACAACTACCAGTAAATGGCGGTCCAAACAGCAACCATATGAGGTTTTAACTTTAGACAGTAAAGTGTGATCCTATAGTCATGAAGACTGGGGAAAAATGGGATAGGGCAGAGAATAAGAGAGCTAATAAGTTATGGAATCAAATCATGCTCTGGTTCCATGACCATCATCATTGTAAATCTTAGTTTGACTTTTGATTGGCTCAGTGAATTACAAAAAAAAAAGGAGGGGGAGGACAACAACATCAGAAAACAGAGAAAAAAGTATCCTTCTTAGACATTGGGCAATAGTTTGATGTTAATAAAGAGCTCCTTTTCCACACCAAAAAGAAAGGAAAGAGAGCCTTATCTCAATCTGAAACCATATCAACAATAAATAACGTAGAGCAATTAGGCAATGAGTGAAGCACATTGATATTCGATTAGCATACATTGATCAGTTTTAAGAATACACTGAAAGCAATCACCTCAATGAAAATGATAAAAGAATGGCAGGGAGCAGACATATCACCAATAGATAATTATATAACCAACAAGCTGAATACAAACTCGATTAAATTAACAAAAGGCAAAATAAAAAGATCTAGATCAAGGTCAAAATGGCATTACCGTGCCTGGCCCTTCGGTGCAAGGACCACCTACTAAAGCTACAATTCTAGCTCCAGTACCAGGCAAACAACCTCCAAGCAATCCAGCTGCGACACTTAGTGCTACTCCAGTACACCTTGAAGCCCGAGTTCCTGGTGCCACCGGCCACTGATCCGTTTGCAACTCATCCAAGAGCTAAAACAAAAAACAAAAAGAGAACCCGATTTTCCTCAATTAACAACAGACAATCTACATCTCAATTCAAAACCAAACAGAAACAACAAAAAAAATCCCAATTTTCCTCAACTAACAAACAATTCACATCCAAAAATCATAACCAAACAAAAATCAAGCTGAAACATAAGAAAAAAGAAAAAGGAAAACAACAATTTTCCTAAAACAACAAAAAAGCACACGTCAAATTGAAACACACTATCATAACGCACCGAATTGAGCGTAAATTCACAGTCAGAAGCCGGCAACAAGAACCGGGTCACACCAGAATTCTGCATTGGCATCCCCTTCTGCTGTTGATACGCACCAACACCACCACCAGGAATATTCCTCCTAACAGCAACACCGATACCTAATTGCTCCATAACCTGATCTTTACTAATCTCTTTAGTCCCTCTAAAAACATAAACTTTCGACATATCACTAAACCCCAATTCATGAACTTGCACTTGCGTCCCAAAAGATACAAAACCCACCATTGCATTCTCCGGTAACAACCCAATTGCCCTCTTAACCTCCGATTTCACATACTCAAATTCCTCTTCGATCATACAAGTATCCAAAACAAACAAAAAAACAGACTTGGAATCAAATTCCCCAACTGGATTATGATTCTTGTCACCAAGAGTATACTCTATCGTCGTATACTGGCTATACAGCTCAGCTGGGAGATTGGTCTCGGAGATCATGGAATAATGGGGAGGAAAATGGTTGCGTTGGTAGCAGAAAGGACAGATCCAGATCTTGGCGGTGAAATCAACACGCGAGAAGCAATTCATGATTGATGTGCAGGTTTTGCAACGAAGAGGAAGGTAAGGGAGAGTTGGGATTTCTGGGTTTGGACGTATTGGGGAGATTGATGCGGCTAAAGGGATAACGCATTTGGATGCTTCTACTTTGGTTCTGGGCCAGTTGTTCCATGTCATACGGACTGAATCTATTCCCTCTGGATCTGTGTTTGGGATTTCTGACATGGTTGATTCGATTCCAGGTGATTCAATTCAGGGGTTTTGAGAATTTTGGGTTTTTGCTGATTCTGGGTGGCGACCCCGGTGGTGGAGGAAGGGGTCACCGGAGAGAGAGCGACGGGGGAAGGAGGAAAGAGAGGTTTCAACGGGGAGAGAGGTTTGGTCCTTGTTTGTTTTACGTTTTTTGCGTGTTTTGTTTTTGGGGAAATTTGTATTTAGTTTTACAAAAAAATAACAGGAGTGAGTATGCAATGTGTATTTATGACGTCTTAAATTTGAAAAATACAAAATTATTGTTTGGTGTAACATGTCTCGGTTGGAATATTATATCCGTATCCGGCACGTATCGGATACCAACATTATGCATAGAAACATGATAAAAATAAAAAATAAAAAATAAACAAAAATAATATGACTTCAGATATAGGTACTCGTTTATTACCTTACTATTAATCTATTACCCACTAATACATTTCAAAAATAATTTAAACATACATAGACTTAATTGTATAAGATTTATAAAATAGAGACCAAAATAGTTTTTAGAAAAGCTTTAAGGACCAAAAAAATCTTATAAATAAAGTATTAAATTGCAAAAAATAAAATTAAGCACCAAAATAACTTCTTCTTTTTTTGAGAATTACAGGGCTAAAATAAAATATTTTGATAAAATATTTTTAACTGTTATTAAAGGAGTATTAAATAGCAGGGTAACCAAATATAAGTTTATAGGATAATTTCTCAATAAACATAGATATGATATTTTTTTTAATGAACAGGGTGAAAAATCAAACTTATGAGCCGGATACATGGCACATTTAGCATCCGTACGTATATAGCTCCCTGAGAATAGGTTGGAGACAGATGAACAAAAATAGATATAGATATGATATATTTTTGGAATAATTATATAAAAAAAACCCCTTCTAAAAAAATCTTATATCTAAATAATCTTTTAATTTATTTTCAAATCTCTCAAATCCAAAATAATATTTTTCTTACCAAAACACATAATAGTTAACCTTCAACTTAACACTAGTTAACTATTAGGTTTTTTAGTAAGATAAATTTTTTATTTTTAGGTTTGAGAGGGTTAAAAATAAATTGATGGAGTTTTTAGATAGAAAATTTCTAAACACTAACATTCGACTGTTTTTTGCTTTATTATACTAAAAAATTCCTTATATTTGATTTTTTTCTATCGATCGTTTGTTTCATTAATTACGAGATTAATTTTACTATCTAGTAACTATAGCAATCAATGTAATTTAACTAATTAATATTGATGAAATGAGACTCTTGTTATTATCTTGTAATTTAATCAAAAGGTTATCGTACAAATAAGAAAAATAAGGATATACATGATTATAAACATTGGTGATTTCTTAAATCCTAATATATTGATATATAAAAAAAAGTATCATCGGTAATAATAGTTTTTAATTAATCAAAACTCAACATTTTTTATCAAACAATTAAATTAAATTACAAGATGAATGTATAACATATTTTGATGCATTAATTAAATAAAGCATGATCATCCGTAATAGAAATACATATTTTGAAAGATAATGGTTTCATTTAAACTAGAGATGATTATCAAAATACCTTTTAAAAAATCTTCTATCTAAAAAACTTACTATTTTATTTTTAAATCTCTCAAACACAAAATAATATTTTTAAATCTAACAAATCTAAAATAATATTTTTTTTTACTAAAATAACCAATAGTTAACACTAGTGTTAATTTTTGAGTTTTTTTAATAAGAAAAATATTATTTTGGGTTTAGGAGATTTAAAATTAAATTTATGGGTTTTTTAGGTATAAGATTTTTTCGGTAATTATTCCCTTTTTTTTTTTTTTTAATTAATAGGGTGTCATTCATTAGGTACAAATCAAACATTGGCAAAAAATTTCTAAAATCAGACTCTTACTTCTATATGCCTGGCAGGATGACCACAAATAGGCTATCCCCTGTTTTCAGGCTGAGTGGCAAGTCCTCTCCATATTTCACAACAACAGCGAACTAGTTAACAACAGAATTATTTTCGAATATAGTTCATAGATGCAATCTATTCCAGCACAATCCTTAAAAGAATTTCTGTCCATCAGCCTAAAGCCCACTTTCTGTTTCCCAGTTTTTTATATGCCTCAAATCTGCAAGCATCATTTTATATCATTTCCTTTCTTCAAGAATCTCATTCTACAATGTCGTTGGGATGGCAAGAAAAGGTGATTGTTTTCTTTGCTCTTTAAACATCCTAACCCTCTTGATTTCAATGACCATGGTGGTTCAAGTTTCCCACACATGGGAAATCATCGATTTCTACGGAAATGCGAATTGTGCAGGCTTCTTGCAAGTACCAATCTTCGTATTAGGAGTGGCTCTTTTGGTTATATCTGTCCTAGGATTGATGGCTCTGTTTTGTCGAGCAACGCCCCTTCAGCGAGTGTATTTGTGGGCGATGTTTTTGCTTGTAATTGTTCTATTAGGGTTTACAATATTCTCCTCGCTCGTAACTGATAAGGGTCCCAAGGAAACAGATTCAGGTAGAGATCAGAGTAAGCTTCAGGATTTTTCAGGTTGGTTGCAAAGTCATCTGGTGAATGAAAAAAAATGGGTCAGCATCAAGAATTGTTTAATCGAGGCCAGAGTCTGTCAGGACTATGCCGAGAAATTGTCTGCATTACCTGCCCATGTCTTGTTGGAAATGCTGGTTCCTCTTGAGGTATCATAACAACACCATCTCTGCCAAATTATTGATTGTCAAATCATAGTTTTAAATCACAAACGGTTGAAAAAACAGTAGCGATTGTCGTTACGGATCGCGGCCTATTATAATACTAAAATAATGATAATAGCATGCTCTAAAACTATTATATAACGGACTGTTATTTAAAATTATGTTGCCAAAAGCCTTACGATCACATTATTCATTAGTTGTAATATTATGTTCGATTAAGTTTTACATCATGCCTTGTGTTCTGTTTCTAGTCAGGCTGCTGCATGCCACCAAGTAATTGTGGATACAAGTTCAGGAATTCGACGTTTTGGGATGCTCCAAAATCAGGCTTGGGTTCGAAAGGTGATGAATGCCATTCATGGAAGAATGGGCAGGGCACTCTGTGCTACGATTGTGGAACGTGCAAGGCTGGATATCTCCATCAAGTTAGGGATGATTGGAAAATTTTGAACATTTTCAACATCTGCTTCGTCATCTACCTCATCAGCATCCTTGCCTTTGGATTTTTTTACTGGCCAAGCGCAGAAACCAACCTATTATGACCCATCTGCCAAATGACTATGCTAAATTTAGGTGACTTTTACTGCAAATAGGATATAGAAGATCAGCATAAAACTTGTATAGTTGTCATTTCAATCTGCCTAAGGCTTAAAAAAAAAAAAAAACCTCTTTTCTGCCTATTTCCCTTGCCAAATTCTGAAGGCTTGGCGTTTTGCAGAACTCAGTAGAAGCTAATGGCGCATATTCACATATATTTAGTTTTTCTTGTCTTGACTTCCATTTTCTCTTGCAAGATTAACTGAGTAAATTATAAATTAGTCCGTCTCGTTTCAAGAAATAAATTAATTAGTTATTTTGGTTTTAAAAAGGATTTACCTCATAATTGATCTATGTATAGTTTTAATTTTTTTTTAATTAAGACCCTCTCATACTTTTGAGCTGAATTGAAACTTTTTACTTTTATAAATTTATAGATTGAGACCTTCCGTTATAACGTCATTAACTCTTCATCATACGTAGCAAATTAAAAATAATGATAGCCAATCACACAATAACATGTGATAAATTTTTTTATCAACATTTCCACGTATCGATTCATGATTGGCTATTATCATTTTTAAAGCGTCACGTGAAATGAATAGTTAACGGTGTTATAAAGGAGGATCTTAATCAATAAATTTATAAAAGTAGAAGGTTTCAATCAAAGTGAAAAATAATAGAGTCTTAATCAAAAAAATTGAAAGCTGTAGAGGGACCAATTATAGGGTAAACCGAGTTTTAAAAACTAATTATTTAATCCTTTTAACAAGTGTTGAACACAACTAATTTAATATTTTTTATTTTATAAAATGTTTTTTTTCTCGTCAATCTTTTCATATTTTTACTCATTTTTTATTCTTTTTCTATTTCTTAAAACAAAATAAATTTAAAAAATAACAAAAAGGATTCAATAATTAGTTTTTGAAACCAAGGGACTAATCAAACCCACCAATTCTTCATCCGAATACTTTCTTCTACCATCCGGAAACGGAAAATCTATTAAGGTTATCAGCGTAGGACAAAATGCTTTCTTCTCCATCTCCATCCGTTAGCTTCTTTTTCCTCTTCTCAAGTCGTGCGTCTATGAGAGGCAGGAGGACATTCTCCGAGGGGAATCTCTAGAAGTTCTTTCCACAACTTGGGAAACAGAATCCTTCCCAACTGAGAATGAAATTAAGGAACTTAAACTTTACAAAATTTGTGATGATAGCACATGTCAAAAATAAAAAAAAATAGCATGGATTAGCATATAATAATAAATTGGTTAAGTTATTTAATTAATTTTTTTAGAAAAATTGAACATATATAAACTTTTGTTGTAAAATTGTAATCCGTTCTTTATAAAGGGATTGTCTTATATATATATATATATATATATATATATATATATATATCAAAATGCTTGTTTAGTTATAAATATAAGTGGTATATTTTCTTTAATTAAAGTCCATTTTGGTAAACTACATAAATAATTTCACTGTTTTAATCTGAAAATGCTTCTTTGATTTTGCTCCTTTCCATCACAGCCTTAATAAGTCATGTCAACGTCTATTTGGATTAAAAGTACATTTTGTAAACTATTATATTTTTTAAAATTTAATTCAATTGAGTGAATTCAAAACTAATGATATATTTGGAATATGTGAAAACCCAGATGCATTGGATCCTTAAATCCGTAATCGGAAACTAAAATCCTTTTATGCTACAAATCTTGATAAAAAATAGTAACGTATTAACTTTTTATCATTTTATTCCTATAACCTAATCCAAATCCTTACATACATTTGTTATCCAAATCCCAAAATCATTAGGCTGTGATGGAAGAGAAATTTTATAATTCAAAAAGTACTTAATGACATGTACGGTAGTTATTCTTTAAGTTCACTTTAAGGAGAGAGATAGACACAAAAAAAGAGAAAATAAAAAAATTTGAGCGGACGTGAAAATCTTCTTATCATTTTTTGTAGGTATGGATGTAATTTCTCTCTTTGTTTATGTGTCTATCTTTCTCTTCAAAGTGGATCGAAGAAATAATTACTTGTACATGTCACTGAGTTACTTTTTATGTATTATAAAATTTTCCATGGAAAGGGGCAAAATAAAATGTATGAAAAGATTTTTTATTTAATGGCATTAATTAAGTAGCATGACTTATTTAGTATAAATAAACTGGTTCTCTTCTTCAATGCCTCCAACTCTTCTACTCTATCTCTCTCTCTCTCGAAGGCTGTGTTCTGGTAAAAAAATGGCAGCAACAGCATTTATCTCCTCAGTTGCTCGAAGGTACGTAATACAGCCTAAGAAAAACATGAACAAACTTGTCCTCTGCATCATCAACATGTCTCCCTTTATGCTTCACATACAGTCAATTTACTTCTGCAGGTTACATAGCTAGAATTTCGGACAAAAGATTTAATTATAGTCGTGCAATCTTAAGCATAATTTCCTAACTCTTGAGCTTCATTGCAACGTTCAGATTTTTTCTTGCGTTGATTAATTATCACCATATATATATATATATAAGCAACGCGCGAGGTCTTTGGTCAGACGGTCTAGCATCATAACTTGTTTTCTTAGCATTCCATTCGTTTTTTGGATGGATGAATACTGGAGAGATGCAAGGTTATGAAGAACAGAAGTTGCTTAATTCCCTTAGTGTTTTTAACTTTCTCCTTTAGTCCTTATACTTTTTATCTTTTCATATAGGCCGGAATGAAAATGCATTAATTGCCCTTATAATTTTCTTTTTCTTTCCCAATGGAAAGAAATTCTGACGGGTTATTTACTACTCAAAAATTTTTAAAAAGAAAAACACAATAAATTGCTGAAAAAATCATATTTCTTAATATTAGATAATAGCGATCAAAGAACTACCAACAACATAATTAGTTTGTCTTAGTTGATTAAAGGCTAAACTAAAAATTAAAGAAACTAGAAATTCATAAATTAATTTCAAAAAGAAAGACAAGAAATCTTAATTCTTAAACCAGAGCAATTTGAGCTGATTCTACACTGTTCTCTTTTGCCATTATTTTTATGTCTTTTTCTCATATGGAACAAGTTTGTAACCCTACTAGCCTTCTATTTTGTTTTCATAATTATCTTCTTTATTTGAAAATCTAACAAATTTCCTCAACGTGTAGGCTAGAAGGAAAAGTAGCCTTGATCACAGGAGGGGCCAGCGGCATTGGTGAAAGCACTGCTAAAGTGTTTGCCCACCATGGAGCCAAAGTGGTCATTGCTGACGTCCAAGATGAACTGGGTCATTCACTTTCTAAATCCTTAGACCCATCAAACTCCACGTATGTGCATTGCGATGTTACTGATGAGACCCAAGTAGAAAATGCAGTGAACAAAGCTGTGACAACTTACGGCAAGCTGGACATTATGTTCAACAATGCCGGTATTGCTGATGAGACCAAGCCACGCATAATCGACAACGAAAAGGCTGATTTCGAACGTGTTCTTCAGACCAATGTGACCGGAGTTTTTCTTGGCATCAAACATGCAGCTCGTGTCATGATCCCGGCACGCAGTGGCACCATAATTTCAACAGCTAGTGCTTGCTCAAAAGTTGGTGCTTTAGGCTCACATGCATATTGTTCCTCCAAGCATGCTGTTCTAGGGCTCACCAGAAATGCTGCTGCTGAGCTCGGGCAATTTGGCATCAGAGTGAACTGCTTATCACCTTATGCGCTTGCGACGCCTTTAGCAGAACAAGTTGTTGGTCTTGACGGTGAACAACTTCAAAACTGGATGAACAATTTTGGTACTCTGAAGGGTGTGACCCTTGAGGCAGAAGATGTTGCCAATGCAGCACTTTATCTGGCTACTGATGAAGCTAGATATGTTAGTGGGCACAATTTGTTCATAGATGGTGGTTTTTCCATTCAGAATCCATCCTTCCGTATGTTCCAGTACCCTGAAGATCAGTCGTAATTGATTTGCTACAATTTTGTGGACGCTTCTGTTTATTATTGAACAGTTCTTGCAATTTTCTGAAACTGGGAATCCTTTTTTGTTTTAATTTGAACCCCACATCTTATTTGTTTAATTATGACATTTCATCTTCTGCTTTTGGAGTTTTGATACGTGTTTTAGACTGTTCAATCGTAGATTACGAATCATAACTAAATGGTTGATTGATTGTCCAGCTGTAAGACATGGATATTGATCCTGTAAAAATACCTGCATGCGTACGCCCATTCTAATTATTGGTTTAGTGCTAATGTTCCGAGGTTAAGCGTGACAGGCAGCGGTGGTGGTGTTGAATTTTCACTTTTGACTTGGATCAACGGACTCTAAATTGATAGAATGATATGAGCGTGGAAGAAGTTGAAAAAACTATTGACCTAATTTTAAGATTTTTTGAATTTAGTTCGATGTCAAATAAGTCAATGAGTAAAACTCATGGATTGTGTCTATAATATAAAAGTGATTTGGGCAAAAAAAAATTGTTTAAGCACTCAAAATTGACTTTTACTAATTTTTTAAGATTTTTTTCTTATTTTGGGTTTTTTTTTCCTTTTTGAATTGTTTTAAGTTTTTGATCGAATTTTCCTACTTATGTATGACCTGGAGGTTGAAAAACGCAGCTTTCTTTAATCGATAAAAATTTATAAGAGAATATCTCAATTTTATCTGAATTTTCTACACTCTTTGAATCAATAGAATTGAAGCATAAATAATGAATCAACAGAATTAAAACATACTTCTTGGTATTTATATATAAATCAACAAATTATAATAGATCGATATTTAGATTTCAAATTCAATAATATTTATTTTCTTCTTTTCACTATGTCACAGTTTATCTGCAATTTCTTGGCCTAATGCATCTTGAATATCTGCAATAACAACCTTAGCACCATTTTCGTAGAAAAAAAGTTCACAGTAGCTGTCCCAATTCCGCTTCCGCCGCCGGTGAAATTGGAATTGCGTTAATTTTGATTCTTGTCGGGAATGAAAACAGTAATTTTTCTTTAAGGTTACTGGAACACCA